GATTGTCTCAATTAAATTTGAAGCTAGAAAGTCTTGATCACTTTTACAGGATTTTTGCTCACTAATGTAGTGAGTCGCTTACTCGGTCAGTAGCGTTAAAAGTAACAAGTGTTAGTAGCAAGCGACCAGTAGCTGTCATAATTAATTGTCGTGTAATTTTCGTGACCGTCGAAAAATAATGTACCTAAATATTGAGAATGTTTCTTAATATTTAGGTACATTATTTTCATATAATATTTAGGTTCATTCATATAATCTTTAGGTTCAAACTGAACCAAAAATATGGGTAAATTACCTAAATAACATTTTCTTCCTGTAATAAATATGGATTTCTTTCCCACTTGCTGTATCACAAAGCTCTTTTTTATCAATAAAGATTTTATTAATGAGAACGCCAAAATTAACCGTATCTCGACTGCCCTCCACCGCGTTGTTTAATAGGTGAGATTCGCAATATAAATTTGACTTGCCTTCATGATCCATATGTGTTAGTGCTAGTTACCCAAAATAGTGGATAACTATTAACTGCTATTCACTGATAGTTGATAGACAGTTCAACCATTTGGTTGAACAAATTAGTTGAATGGGTAGAAGTGGAAGACACTAAATTGCTGCGATTTAACGGTCAATACAATTTAGTTATTATCGAAATGCTAATTTTGCTATGGAGTTCATGCAGTACCTATCACTACCAATAAGTATCAACTCCCTCCCATTTGCTAGTCTCAATGCTGGTAAACAGCTTTACTGCATATAAGAAATTTAAGACCCATTTAATATGTCTCGTTATAGCAAAAAACGAAGATCATGTTCTTTGATTGCAGCTATATATTGAAACTTGGGAATTTATTTCTAAAAATACTGTGATCTTGGGTGGAAAATTTCCAAGTATAGACTAGCACGATCACCTGCCCCGAAGCTACTGACAGTTAATGAATATTTCACGAGAAATATATTGAATGAAGCCTCGTATTTGGATTCTGTTTTCCAAGAAATCCTTGTAAAAATTGACAAGAAATCCTTGTAAACACCGCGTAGGATGCGTGCCAGTTCTGTTCAATGTAATACATAACATTTCCTTCAGAAAAATCGTCTGCCCCAAGCTATGGTTATCTTCACAATTTAACTACTTTATTTTTTAAACAGATATATCTAAATTTTTAAGCGTGTTAATGGACATGATTTAAAATTTTTGCGAATATCATGGATATGCAGCATCTGCAGGCATGACGCCTCAGGTGTTCTTTTTGAGGAATTTAAATTCGTGAACAAAATTGTACATTTCTTTCATACGCTGAAGACGGATTTGAATAGAATTTTTACAGTGAATATGTGATTAACAGGTCATTTTCTCAATAACATTTCATAAGTTTAACATTATATGCTGGATTTGAAGTAACGAAATTCGACAACGGGGTATTAGAAATACGGGATTGATATAATTGGATTGATATATCGTGATTGATTTAACGGGATTGATATATCGTGATTGATTTAACGGGATTGATATATCGTGATTGATATAACGGGATTGATATACCGTGATTGATTTAACGGCATTGATATATCGTGATTGATATAACGAGATTGATATATCGGGATTGATATACCGGGATTGATATATCGTGATTGATTTAACTGGATTGATATATCGTGATTGATTTAACGGGACTGATATATTGTGATTGAATTGACGGGATTGATATAACGGGATTGATATATCGCGATTGATTTAACGAGATTGATATATCGTGATTGATTGATATAACGGGATTGATATAACGGGATTGATATATCGTGATTGATTTAACGGGATTGATATATCGTGATTGATTTAACGGGATTGATATATCGGGATTTATATAACGGGATTCGGTTTGACGGCACGGATATACTACGGGATTCTGGATGATGGAATTTTTAAATTTCAAATATTCCATGCAAGTTGGGTCAAGGTGCAAGTTATGGATATTTTTCTGTGAAGAGAAGCAGTGAATTAGATGTAGCATGTTGTTGCAATGTAACTTGGAGAATTTAATGTTAATGTAATGTTAAGGAAACCGTTTGAGCAAGCATGTCATCCGGTTGAGTGTAAAAAAGTATAGTAGACGATACAAACATAACAAAATAAAGCTAATTTTGTTCAAACAATATTTGTTTTTGCTTCACGAAAGGATTTTTTGCAGAAAGAATTCATAGTCAATTGGATTTGAATATTGAAGGGCTAACAATAAAAAATTACACCTTTCCTTTATTAAATAATCCTAAGCCATGCATGATGACACATGATCCAAGAATAGGAAAGTACTAATTATCTTGACAAATCGTTCGTTCGCCATTCACGCCAAATAGTATTTGGTGATATCTTAATTTAAATAGATCTGTTATTTTAATTCATTTACAATACAATTAACTGAAGCAAATCAGCTTAACAAGCGCAAGGTCAGAGCTTTCCAAACCTTTACTGCCCATTTTAAGAAGTCGATCTTGATGTTCACTATTAATCGTGTCAAATTTATTGCAATTGTAATGTTTTTATTAATTCTATATTCATTAGACGCTCTTTATTAACATTAGATTCATAGTTATTTGTTCAGTTTGATTTAGTGGCTGCACGTTTCTCTTCGTAACTATTATTGAATTATTTTCATTACAAATCATTACAAGCCTTAATTTAATTATGTGAAAGGGCACTCGCATGTGATAATTTAGCTCTCAGAATTTTACGTTTTTACAGAAGGATGAACACAGGTTTACCAGAGAATAACAATTTAATTGTAAAATTATTTCCGTATAGTCACAGATTTCCGGCGAAACAAAAACAGAATTTACCGCGGGAAAATGCTCAAAATTGTACCTATCATGAAGATACCAACGTTGTTTCCAAATAAGTTTCAAAACATTCAAAGTTGAATAGGTACATTCCCTGCTTTTGAACAGGTACCTAGAAGTCGGTTGGGCACTAATTACAGATCTATTAAAAATTGGCAGGGAAATTTCCAAAGATATTGCAATATTCATCATCAAATTAAACTCTTTTGTTTAACGGCCTAAACATATTGCCGTCAAATTGTTACTCTATATTTTATATCGTTTACAGCGTCAGTGGGAGCGTATACACAGTAAGACAGGCTGCTTATCAGACCAGGCTGTAGGTGTTGACTGTTGAATATTGCCCACACGATATCTGTCGTCTTATCAAAGAGGTTCTAAGACTTCATTTTCGCCTCTAAACAGTGAAGAAAACTTACTGAAATTGCTTTAGTTCAGAATTTCAAACATGCTGGCTCATTTTAAAAACTAGCATTATCTTCCATATTTAAAATTGGTAATCTTTCATTTGTGTAATTCGCATGATCGTTCATATTCAACAAAATTCTCCATCGCAACATGTGATGATCACAACATGTGATGATCACAACATGTGATGATCACAACATGTGATGATCACAACATACCTATAGCCGACGAAAAAAATTGTTAGAAATCAAAATCTAATCAGAAAACTAAATGCGTCAATCAATGACAACCTTTAGACGAAATTTGTCAATGAGCCGCACAACTTGGTTCAAAAGATGATCTCATGGGAGATATTCTTTAAAGTTCCATGAAACTTGCCGTAACATCGCCTAGTTTTGGTGATGAATTTATAACTTTCGTACAATTTGGTGCACTCCAGCATTAAAAAAAATACTTTTTAGTTTGTAGGCAAAATTTCTAATTTAATTGGAAAATTTGTTAGGAAGATTTACGCGTCTTGGGTCTTTGCATTAACGAAGATAATAAAAACGTTAGAGAAGTCCAAACAATTTTTGTATATGTTAATGGTAAAATCAAGTCATATTGCAAGTTTATGTTCAATTCAGACGTGGCTTGCATAAAAGATAATTCAATTTTCCTATATGAATTCAGCCGTGTATGGAAAATGTGTGAAATTCAGATCAGTTTTCATGCATGTATGAAAAATGTATAAAACTCAAATCTTTTATGCAGTTGTAAATAGCAACAGTTTGATTCACAATATTTCGTGATTTTTATTTAAGATGAGCTGTGACAGCAGGTTACTTGTTGGCATGCGGTTGCGTTGGGCTTAGTGAGCAAAAACATGTTGTTATAATGTGACTATTGATGCATGACTTTACGAACATTATTCTATACTACGAAAACCTTGCATTAAAATTTACATTAATTAAGAATTTACATTAATTTACATTAATTAACATTGCTTTTATGGAAGTCTCGTCTAAATTTAACATAAAACTTGCAAAATAACTTGATTTTACCATTAACATAGACAACTACACATAGGGGCTATTTGTGTCCCGAATTTTTCAAAGTGAAATTGCTAACAGTACTCAAAATGTTATATAGAGCTTAGCTTTTTGATTGTACTTCAATAGTGTTATTCGGACATGTTCAATAATTCCGTGTCACTAGTGAGGACCATACATGCAGTGCACGGGCCCAATGACCATATCACTAATGTATGTCTGTGTCGTGTTGTTTATCGCATGTAATGTCACTGTGTCACAACGAGCCTTGTCGTAAGGGAGAGCAATACAAAACTTTTACCACCCTACCTCTGCCCATGCTACCTGGACATCGACTGTACTACTATACTAGTTGGCTGTACAGCTCTGATTTGCGACTTCCCAAATATGGACTTATCGTAAATTTTTATTTTCAGCGATCGGCTTCGTCTGCGATGGCGTCAGCATGACGAAAGCCACACTGCATTACAAATACTTGTTTGAGTGTGGCTCACACGCGCGTTTTACATTGCGCCTTAATAAATTTAGCAACGGGCCTTAGTTCATCGCTTCCATTTCGTTTGAATTTTGTAAGACACGGATAATGCTTCTAAAATATTATTTTATAAAACATTCACAGAAAAAAGCTTCCATGGTTAAAATATTTGAACTGTTTACTTTTAACTCATCCATTACACACGTTGCGATTGCATTGATTAACTTAAATAACATCCTTCGTTTCCTCGGCAGGCGCGTGTTCGCAGTTCGGCCACTCATGCTTCGGTGCTCACGGCAAGCGCAGCGGCGCCCACTCTGCACCATCGCCGCTGGCTGAAGCCCTGGTCTCCTACCGCGAATCCTACGACATTCCTTCAGTTAATCATATTGGCGATTACAATTACCGTGCAGGACTTGGGTCGCAGCCCGAGGAATATCCATTGCAGACAGTAGATTACTTCGAGGAAGGCTTTAAGAATTCGATAGATCGTCAAGTATTGCAGGGAGGTTATGAGAGTGAAGAGGATTTTGAGAACAGACAGGTTTTACCTCCTTGGCTCCTTATCAAAGAGCTTAGTGATGGTAAGGAAGAAGAGGTCTTAAACAATCGCAATGAAGCTGGTCTTGATCTTCAAAATTTCGTTGGCCAAGACAGCCAAGATGCAGGGCATGAGCGTGAAAATTTCCATATAAATACCGGTGAAACAGAGAGAAAAATGCTCAAAAGCCGCTTTCGAGTCCCAATGTCGAACAAACTGCACGAGGCTGAAAACGAAACTCTCCAGGATTTAAAAAATTGGGTAAATATTTATGCATTTAAACACTCATTTAGGATTACAGTTCTGTAATTCTAATGCTAGGCAAAAAAAAATTATTTTGCTTCGTTCATGAAAGCTGAGTGGCACGAGTGGCACACCACAAAATAAAATCTCATATTTTCATCATCTGTTTGGGAGTCCAAGCAGAAATTTATTTAATTGTTTCTTACTCCATAGTTTCTCCTCTTCATCACAGTTCTTCTTATTTTTTTGAAATTGTATTTGCTGATAACTCTAAAATCTTAAGGCTTGTCTGCTAAATTCCAATTATTAATTTTTTATTGCCGTTGTGATTAATTATAACCGTTGATGCAGCATTCACAAGGAAGTTGAATAACAACCAAGCTATTATGCGCTAATAATCGCCTGCCTTTAATATTTTGCATTATTTCTGCATTATATAATATATTATATTATTTGCATTATTTTTGCATTATATAATATATTATAAAATTTGCATTATTTTTGCATTATATAATATATTATATTATTTGCATTATTTTTGCATTATATAATATATTATAAATATGGTAAAGATGTCCTATCTAATATGGCTACGATGTCCTCTCTAATATGGTTACGATCTCTATTTAATATGGCTACGATGCCCTATCTAATATGGCTACGATCTCTATTTGATATGGTAAAGATGTCCTATCTAATATACTATCTAATATGGCTATACGATCTCTATTTAATACGGTAAAAATGTCCTATCTAATATACTATCTAATATAGCTACGATTTCTATCTGTTTAATTTGGCTGCGATATCTTATCTAATATGGCAAGAAAGCCCCTAATTAGCAAGACAACAAATACCTAATTGCTTCGTAGTATTCATTATTTATCAATCGGACCTAGTGGAAAACAAGCTGTTTCTTGACACTTATTAATGCAGTATAACGTGTATCTCGGATTACTGGGGAACATTAATTTCCACCGACAATGATAACTCATATTTGAGCCTAAATGTTATATGTTGTGCATTCACATGGGTTGCTAGTGAGTGGAAGACCAAAATAATAATTGTATAGCTATTGTTTAAAGAACTAACTGATGTGAAGGAAATCAGGCGAAATCGATGGATATTTTGTTGGAAATAATGAAACAAATATTATTTTCTTCTTAAGTTGTTATTTGTGGTTCAAGTAGCACGTAACTTGGCCATGAATAATTATTATAATGATTTTTATATAAAGGCTATTAGAAATCCGAAATCGTGTCGCAAAGTAGCAATCATTTGGGTGTAATTTTTTAATTTATGTTATCCTAAGGTAATACCTGGAGTTTTGATATTTTAAAAGAGACATTTTAGACATTTTGTTTATTTTCGACATTTTCGACAAAAGCGACATTTTCATCTAATTTTGTTTGTTTTAACTAGATAAAAATATGATTTTTTTTACAAAAATCTAGGAGCATGAGTAGGAGATATTTATTATAGTTATGTTGGGCCTATTAAATAATTTGTTCTATTTGTGCATCACTTCTTATGATAATTTTGCAGTATATTTATTTATAGAAATGCATTCTTTGTTGTTCGTTTCGTTATAGAGGATAAAATATATGAGTACATTAATAATACTAATTACAGGCAAGGTTATTTGAACACATATCAACTATCCGTCACAGAACTGATGCCTCTAACATAGAAAACACTCTGCTTTCACCAACTTAAAATCATCAGAATTTTGTTACAAATTGTCTTTGAATAAGGTCAAATTGTGTTCAATTTGCATGGTCGCGGATTATCGTGAATAATTTTTCGACATATATATTATATTATTTGCATTATATTAATTATATTATTATTTGAAAGAGAACCCGATATATGTTATGAAAGCCAACAGAGCTGCTATTGATCGTATGTTATAATTACATTTTGTATAAAGAACAATGCTGCAGATGAAAACGCTTGCAATGCGAACAATGATGTCCGAGAACAAAACTGACTTTTTTTCTATTAATATATAAGCACGGATATTGTACACTGATACTGACCAACAAAATAAAATTAGAGTTACAAAAATAGAACAGGGCAATGAACAACAAAGAAGGGAAGTGAAGTTACTCATGTCATCGCTTGGACCATCCTGCCTCCCGATATTGTGGGCGAGCTCGTCGCAAAGGCAAGTAGATTTAGTGGAGTTATACGAGTAGTTTATGACCGGTTGTTAACCCCTCTCGATGCCATCAAGCCTCTATTAGCCGTGTGGTCGGATATATCTTCTAACTTTATGAAGTTGTACGGCTCAGAATAGCGCGAACACTAATATCTTAAAACATTTCTGGTCTATAATTAACCCACTCACTAGGATATTCAGAGATTGTCACCATATTTAATATTATGTTGTACTCAAACATCATACCACAAACTCTAACATAGAACAATAAACTTCAATGTTATGCAAGTTTCCCGTTCCCACATGTGACCGTATAACATTATGAATGCACTCTCTGGACGATACAATAGATTAAGTAGCAATGAACTTAATGGCATTTAATAATGTAAAAGGGAAATTCGTGAATGAGACCGAATAAAGTTTCAAGCATTGAAGACTCTGATTAAAGATAGTTTATTTTCATATCATTGATAAAAACTACATATCAATTGAGTTTATGAAACAAAAACAATGTCAATCGTTGTGTTTGCACGATTTCATCACACTTTTTAGGACTAGATGCGAACACATGCAAATGTTCACTTCACCATCAGTTTAGTTCAATTTAATAATTGCATTCAGGCTTAAAGATCATGCATGATTGATATCATGTACTTGAAAGACATTAGGATTAGTACACATATTTTGACCCTAATTTCTTGCATAAATATATCTTTACATTATTATAATATGCTCGGGAATTTCGATTTTTTACGCATCGAATTCGTATATGTGAACTAAATTTTGAGTTTCTGGAGTGCTTTTGAAAATTGGTTCGTTGCCAGCCTGCGGGGCGTGACGTGCAAAGACATGTAAAGATTTAAACACCGCCAAGAATTGCGCTGAAATTTGTGTTGAATATTGTTGGAATCCCGTATTCGCAATGCAAGGGAATGAACGCATGAAGATTTTGTTAACATTCATCTTTTGTTTACGCTTGTGAACGTGAAAATAAGTTTTGCATATTTCAGATATTCGCATATTTTTTCGCAGAAAATATCTGCTTCTGCCAAATTCTGGGCATTTGGTGTTTTCTTTCATTAGGTTTGCATTATTTAATCTGTTGTTCATAATATAATACACTGTTAACAAATAGAATTCGTTTCAGTAGATTGCGCTTAATTTTTTAATATAGCCACATTGGAAACTATGATAAAATCATATCAAGTAATTTTAAATTTTGCGATCATTTGGATTGAACTGAATTGTTTAGATTGAATGGTGGGAAGGAAAATCGCAAAGAGCTAAATGTAAAAAATAAGTTGTTTGAGATCCGCAAGAAAATCGAGCGAAATCTATAATAAAATTCGATGAACATTCGTATTTCCTGATCAACAATCTATAATATTCGGATAATATATAATAGTTATACCCTTGATAATTTACAAAAAAAATGTTTAATACACATATAAACTATAATAATAACACACAAGTCGCAATTGCACTTGTATGGAAAAAATTGATTGTTTCGATATGTTCATAACCTGAATCTAGTGAATAAATTTTTGTCTCAAAATCACCACTCATTGTAAAGAGATTATTTCTCACTGCGTGTTAGTATTTTTCTATCTGTGAGCTATATATCAATAAATAAAAAACTTATTATCTGTCAATATTTATTGGAATAAATAGTTTGAAGTGTGCTCGAGATGCTGCGGAAGCTGTACTGTTTCTCGATTTAATAAAGGTTATCAATGCTTTTTATTTTTGTATATCCTGTCGAAACATTGATTTTTTTCGCGGATACTTGCAGCACAATTTTGAACTAATATTGGACAATATTTATGAAACAGTTTTAGTAAGATTTTTCTCTTTTTTTAAGAAATTTGTTTGAATTTTGTTGTTATGAAAACCTCTAATCTCGTAGACTCGTACGACATTATTCCTCTTCACGGACACAATGGCAGTTAAAGCTAAATATTGCCTATTGGTTAAGAGGAAATATATATGCGTGTATGTATGTATTATATTGAGTGCTTCATTTAACTATTTACCTATAGAAAATTCCTTCAAAATATTACAGCAGCAGATACTTCGTGAAATTTGAAATTTCACGTGAAATTTCAAATTTCACGTGAATTTTCGTGAAATTTTGAAATGTATTCGTGAAATTTGAGTTTTCACAAATTCCCCTTGCCTATCATAAAAAGTCGAGATATTTTCTAACTAAATTATTAGAAAGTGAAGGTCGTTATAATGGTAGGTATAATCGTTTAAAGCAGCGTCGAAATTGAACAATCAAATAGTTATAGTTACATTGGATGAAATTCTTCGGCTGATCGCCATTTTACATTTAACGTCAGTCGATTGACCTACTACGGTCCAGTATTTATTTTATGCAGATTACCATTCAGGTAGTTAACCGAGCAGCCTTGAAGCTTTCAAAAAACCCATCAAAATTAAAATATTTACGTTAGTATCCCTAAACTACAAACGTTCGGCGAAGAAAAAAAATATTTGTCATAAAATAGATTTGGAATATTGCTGAATTCGAAATTCGTTTGATTAATGTCTCGGTAAAATATGAATTCTGAACGGCAAATTTGCGAAATAGTTTGAAAAGAGTCGGTTACGAACGACCTTCTATCGTGCTGGCTGTTGGGCACACAAATGAAATTGAATAAAAAGATTATAAATACGTGCAATTTTAAAGTATTATTTATAATTTTGCGTTTCCTTAATACTGATTGCGAGAAATTTCAAATAGATATTTTTTGAAATTCATATTTAATTTTTGCAATATCATAGTATTTATTTGAAGTTAGATTAAATCATGTTAGCTTGATAACTGTGTATGAAAATTAGCTTATATGACTTTTTTCGACTGATTGGCATTATTAAAGCCCCAGCTTAAATTTTTAGCATCTGTCATCAAGTCGCCAATCAACACTTGTCAGATATTTTATTACCATTGCTGCAATATAATGAATTTTTTTGCTGGATTAATGATTAACCAGAGATTGGCTGCAAGGAAATGAACATTTAACCCCAAATAAGTTTTTGTGATATTTTATTCATTCATTTTATATAAATTATACATAAAATTTTTTGCGAGTAGATATATAATGTAATGAGCGTAGGTGTTCATTAACGTTACTGTTAGCAGCTCGAACAGAATTAAACATCGTAAGAAAATTTTTTAAAATGTAAAAAAATCTTGAGGTTGTCTTGGAAAAATGATGAGCGTTTTACGCTCAAGGCTTTAAAAAGTTTATATTCCCAAAGGTTACAGATTTGCATAAATTTATTGATCTGTCGGTACACGCTGTAGCAAGACATCAGTACACGCTGCAGCAACACATCAGTACACGCTGTAGCGATACATCAGTACACGCTGTAGCGATACATCAGTACACGCTGTAGCGATACATCAGTACACGCAGCATCGATACATCAGTACACGCTGTAGCGAGTCTCTTATACACATCTAGATGTGTATAAGAGACAGGCGATACATCAGTACACGCTGTAGCGATACATCAGTACACGCAGCATCGATACATCAGTACACGCTGTAGCGATACATCAGTACACGCTGTAGCGATACATCAGTACACACTGCAGCGATACATCTGCAAACGCAATAATATTACGGATATCACGGTAGTTAATTCACAAAATGTCTTTAATAAAATAACCTCAGGTTATTCAATTTAAGATACCGGAGACATTAATAAATTAGAATTATGTCGTAACTACCGACTGCCGTTATTTAAATCAGAGTAATTTTATAACTATTTTTGTTATTGTGTACTCGACAGAATATCACTCAAAATTTGTGACCACTCCAAATTCTGTCTCATTACAGGAGACTCAATTTTTTTTTTAGCTAATCTCCAAAAAAATGTTAATAAATTTATTAATGCGGTTAACCCCGTCTTTGAGTCTAGGCGACTCATTGGGATCGCCTGGATTTGTTAGGTAATTATACTAAAATATTAATAAATACCAGGTTAACTCTGCATTACTAGGGATATGAAAATTGCCTTCGATATGAAAATCTTTAATCTTGTCATTCCGAATTGAATAATATCAGAGAATCTAATCTCTCCAACTGAATCTCGCATACCGAGTAACGTCATGTTGAATCCAGTCTACAAATTTTAGAATTATTTAGTTTACTTAAAGAAAGTTATACGACTAATATTTGTTAAAGAGTTTAAAGAATTTATCAGAGTTTTGTCCGAACTTTATCCTACCTCAGTCCAAGCTTCGTCCCAAATTTATCCAATTTTTTTTTTCTGAAAAATTTCTGAATTTTGTATTAATTTTGCCCTATATTTTTTAAGATTAGTCAAAACTTTTCCCGATCACGCAGTACTCTGAATAGATAATCCCTTAGAATTTAAAGTGTTGTTACCCTGAATGCCGTCCTCCCGAAATATGTCAATCAATCCTAAATCCTGAAACACATTTCTAACTATAAAAAATAATATAAATATAACAAATCAGAACAGAATGTAATTTTTTATCTGATCCACTCATCCCGTTTTACAAAACCTCATGATTCATTTAAAAATAAAATTTCAGGCTGAGGCAATATCCGGATAATATATATTTCGCGGAACACACAATCTCGGACAGATATATAATATATATAAAAAACACGGATAATCTGGAATATTACTGATAAAACTTATAACTAAATTTGTTTTAATAATTAGTAGTTTCTTTGGCGTTGGCTCGGTCTCGCGTGCGATTGAGTGTCTGGGAGCCACGCAGAGACGATAGCCTCGGCCCAAATTTGGCGTGACCGTTTTTGTTGCGAGGCTGGGAGCCAAATTTCGTATAGTATTCAGAATTAAGATCAAAGGAAATGTCTTGAAGATTGTTCTGTTTACGTTTGTTAAGATGATTTTTGATCTTCACGTAGGCCACTAGGAGAAGAATGACCAGGAATAACACCAGCATCACAGACATCAGTGGCAAGGTCAACTTGTTGCTTGATGCCTGTCATCAGTTAAGCAAATTTGAATTATTTATTGGGGAGATACGTCTAAATTTACTATAGAAAACCACAAAAGAATTATAGAAAGGAGATAAAACATATTTTTGTGTAAAACTGTCTAAAGAAACACTAGGAAATGGTAGAGTGCAATATATCTGGCAAGGCTAATATTTAGTGGCGAATAACTCGCCATCAATATGATGACGCTACGGACGCTATATAGACAATATGGGTCACAAATTTTTCTGAGCGCATTAAAAATGGCACATGGTTCTCTGCCCTGGGCCTATTACTTTCAAAAAAAGTTGAGAGACCTTAAGTTCATCAGTCAATCATTGACGTTCTTTCAAGCAAAGTCCACCAATCATAGACAAGAAAAAAATATAACTCAGTACTCACTGCAGTGAGTGACAGAAGGCGCATTTTCTCGTCGACGAAAACTTGAGGTCAGGGACATCGGACGGACAGACAGACGGACATGGCGAGCACAATAGTGCATTTTTTTCAATAAATGAGAAAATGCGCTAAAAAGAACGTAAGTACTTACGTTCACTTAGCGAGTTTTGAAAGTATGGCCTCTGACCTGGAACTCGCGCTTCATGACTGCGAGGCCATAGACAAGAAAAAAAGAACGTAAGTACTTACGTTCACTTAGCGAGTTTTGAAAGTTTGGCCTCTGACCTGGAACTCTTGCTTCATGACTGCGATGCTGAAGTGAGCGACCGCGAGGTTCGAGACGTGGCCATAGTTGCGGTTCTCGTCCAACGCGCGCAGGCCGAAGTACAGCATCTGGTCATCGGTCATCTCCAGCAGTGACGCGTCTTTCAGCTCAACGTCGCAAAATATTTGGTTACTTGAATACATATGAATCGATGACGAATTTTTTCGACGGCTCATGAAACAATTTGGTGACCTTTGTACTAAGACAGTCAAATATACATGACAGTCAAATATACATGAATTATTACAATCAAGTATACATGAAGGTGATTGTGATATATGTAATATAATCATATTTATTTGACTCATTTGTCCTCTCAACTTGAAGTAATAATTAATGTCAGCTGGGCCAACTTTAAACACAGTCTTGCAAGCAAATTAATCTTGGGCAAATAAGTTCATGAAGTGCAATTTGTTTATTTCCAGCCAATAATCATTCACATAATTAAACAAAATTTTCATCCGCTAATAACCTAATATTTCGTCCCTTCATCGGTACTCTGATTATACATTTTTAACGTTCGGGTGCATGTAAAAACAAAGACAGCTCAGAGTTCTGAAAGAACGTATAGAAAACTAAAGCATATTATTTGATCTAAAACAGGACGGTATTGAAAAACTATTGATTTACGTAGCAAGTTGCAAAAAATCATATAAAAAGTTGTATTTTGTAGAAAAGACTTATAATGACTGTGAGGTCTTTTAGGGACAAGTTGGGCAAAGTAGCGGCCGTTTTGAAGTTCATCAAACTTAGCTTATTTTCTAATATAGTTAGCAACAGGTTAGCCTTCATGGCGTCGCCGGGGTTGGATAATTCTTGAAATTTTGGAATCCCCATCCCGTCATTCCCGTAATACCTAATCCCGTTAAAAACTTAATAGCAAAGAAAACTCCACAAAAATTCATAGTATCTTTAAAGAAAACGTGTCGGCAGCGTTTTCTTTAAAGATACTATGAATTTTTGTGGAGTTTTCTTTGCTATTAAGTTTTTAGTGAATTTGCGATTCGAGCAAACGAGTGATATTATTACTAATCCCGTTAATGATAGTGAAACTTAGACATTATAATTAAAAAAAGACTCCTACAAACTCAAATTTTACAAATAAGATAAATTCCTATTTCACTTTCTTTACAAAAATATGAAAAGAATTATGTTGCGTTGTATATAAATTTGTAAACCCGATTGCAAAATCAAATTTAAACTTTCGATCACCTATAAAATTTCCAGCTTTTCCATTAGTCCTTTCATTTATCCAATTAAATTTTAGGTTCTAGCAAAATCATGAAACGATTTTTATTCTGGATTTGGCCCGAATTGCCCTCTACATTTGTGGCGTTAGGACACATAAAACACACAAACTATGACAAGATTATATAGATAATAAAAAATCCTTACGATGACGGTGAGGTTTTACACTGAAGGAAAGACTTATGATGGCGGTGTGGTTTTGCACTGAAGGAAAGACTCACGATGACGGTGAGGTTTTGCAGTGAAAGAAAAGACTACGATGACGGTGAGGTTTTGCAATGAATCAAAGACTTACGATGACGGTGAGGTCTTGCAATGAATAAAAGACTTACGATGACGGTGAGGTTTTGCAATGAATAAAAGACTTACGATGACGGTGAGGTCTTGCACTGAAGGAAAGACTTACGATGACGGTGAGGTTTTGCACAGAGTTCGCAGGCAGCGGAGTGAGTGCGCCAGGCTGGACGTGTTCACCCTCGCGGACGCGCGTCGTGCGAAGGAACTCTCGTCGCAGCGTCGACTGGCGACGGTGGTAACGTAGCTCTAGCTCCGCGGCTGCCGACACGCGTTCGTTCATATTATTAAACTGAGTTAGGGTTGTTAATAATTCTATAGTCGATTCAAAATAATAATTAATGCTGTATTATTTTATTTTTAATTTGGAAGTACACAGAAACGTATTTATCAAGGTAGCGTGAAATTTGTCGGTGGTGGTAGTGCAGCTCAAGCTCCACGGCTGCCGACACGCGTTCGTTCATTATTAAACTGAGGTCAGGGTTGTTAATAATCCTAAATTCAATTGAAAATAATTATTACCGTTGTATAATTTTATTTTAGGTTGAAATTACACAGAAATGTATTTGTCAAGGTAGTGTGAAATTTGTTGGCTGTGGTAGCGTAGCTCCAGCTCTGCGGCTGTCGACACGCGTTCGTTTATATTATTAAACTGAGATCAGGGCATTTAATAATTCTATAGTCGAGTTAAAATGATAATTAATGCTGTATTATTTTATTTTTTAATTGGAAGTACACAGGAAAGTATTTGTCAAGGTAGTGGGAGATTTGTTGCCGGTGGTAGCTCAGCTCAAACTCAGCGGCTGCCGACACGCGTTCGTTCATATTATTAAACTGTGGTCAGGGTTATTAATAATTCTATAGTCGATTTAAAATAATTATTAATGCTGTATACTTATATTTTTAGTTTAAAGCACACAGAAACGTATTTGTCAAGGAAGTGTGAAATTTGTTGGACGAAGTCGCGTAGCCCAAGCTCAGCGGCTGTCGACATGCGTTTGTTCTTATCATGCTGGGGCCAGGGCATTCATTTATTAGATTTAATTTGAATAATTATTATTGTTGAACAATATATTTTATAGTCAGTAATTATTAAATATTAAAAATTATATACAAAAATTTGTAATTGCATTAAATTTACAATTTATACTATTGTTGTATACTTATGTTTGTAATGCAACTACACAGAAATGTATTCATTAAAGTAGTGTGAAATTTTTCCTACAGTTATATTATTGTATTTTTAAATTGTTAGCGTAATGAAATTAAAATATTCAATGATTCTTGTGACCTGTAGATTCACAAAATCTAACCGTAAAATATAACAGCGTTATATTCCTTTGAGTGTCGAAGGAATTCACTATTCCTTCGAGTGTCGCCCATCTAGGCAAACGACGTTTAATAACAACGTTGATAACGAGTTTATTCCGTTGAAACAACGATTCATCAACGTTATTTCCTTGTCAGATGTCTGGCGGGAATTTGACAATCTATGCAGAGATTACGATTTCTAGGTTAGGCTTTCGTGTGTTAACAGATATTAGTTATTTTTAATAAAAGATATTAGTTGTTTTTAATCAAATTAGACGGAAACAAACCCGTGCCGCTGAACAAGTCATCTCCAGGGCAGGTCCACTGTAGGCTGACTGCAGGGTCACCGCTGTGGGACCTGTAGAAGACCTGCGTCACCCGCAGGTCGGTGACACGTCCCGGCGGAGTCAGGTCTCTGGCTGAGTACTCCACCACCTGTAAAATATGATAATCATGTAAGTACTTTACCAGTACTGAGTACTAAACTACCTATAACGTATGATAATCATGTAAGTCCTTTACCAGTACTGAGTACTAAACTACCTATAACGTTTAATTATAATGTAAGTACTCCACCAGTACTAATTACTCCACCGTCTGTAAAGTATAACTATCATGTAAGTACTTTACCAGTACTGATTACTAAACTACCTATAACGTTTAATTATCATGTAAGTACTCCACCAGTACTAATTACTCCACCGCCTATGAAGAATAATTAGCCTGTAAGTACTTTACCAGTACTGAGTACTAAACTACCAATAACGTTTCATTATCATGTAAGGACTCCACCAGTACAAAGTACTAAACTACCTATAAAGAACAACCTTAGGGTAGAAATGGACCTCTAATTTTGATGAAACTGAGAAAATTAAACGTGTGCGTTAAGAGTAGCCAATACGAATCAGATTAGCAATGATTGTGACTGACGTGAAAATGAATTATACCAAATTATAAGTAAGCTCAATGCTGATATACACGAAATGTGTTTTTCTAGGGTGAAGCAAAAAAAATCATCTTTTTGCATTTGTAAAAACTTTTTTTTGCAACATCAGCTGCATGCCTTTTTTTGCAAATCATAGTCAATTTCAATGAAAATTCTTATGCCATATAAAAACTTACTTCAACGCGCTCGACAGGCTTCTCGATTTTAAAGTCTCCGGTACCAATAATGATGCGTAAATCGGTCTTTCCTGCGTTTTCTTCTGTCGGAGGAACATCGTTTGGGGTCTGAACGGCTGATGGAACTGTACATGTTGAATAAGTCAAACATTATAAGTCAAATTTAATCAAATGATATACAATCATAGTCATCTTATAAGTTTGCAAGAACGGGGACCAAACATTGTGGACACATTTTTTCGGACGTTCTTCTAGTTTTTAAGAGGATCTTTTGTTTTGATGAGCAATACAAATGAAACCATAGGACATGTTTGTATGATAAAATTGCCTGAATGGAATACAGCAACAGAGACTTATGGAAAGAAAATGGTCGGAGTTCAATAAATCTAAGTTTTTGCTCAAGTTATGGAATAACAAATGACTAACAGAATATACGTTGTATCTATGGATCATTATTTTATCAAATAAAATTTTGCTAACAGAAGAAGTGCCGCTTTGAAGTTTAAGAATGTTTACAGTTTTCTGCCAGTCTAAACACAAATGTGCCGCACTTGCGACTATGCAAACCATCTATACTATAGGGAGCAGACAGGTAATACCATCTGTAGTCGGAAGCAGAGAGACTATACCATCTGAGGTATATTGTAAAGCTGAAATGTAATACCATCTGTACTAGAGAACAGACACAAATAAGTAATACCATATATGACTCTGCAGAGAGGCAAAGGCTACTGTACAATAAAGAGCACAGGGGTAATACCATCTTCCTGGAAGCAGAGAGGTATTACCATTACCATCTGTAGTTGGGAGGATACAATTATTACCATCTGTAGTTGGGAGCGGAGAGGTAGTGCGTGGGAAAGATGACGTAGCATCAACATTGAAGAGCGACCGAGGAGAATCAACTTGAGGAAGCAACAGTGCAGAGGAGGCTGGCGTTTTGAGGAACGTCCTGGATTGTCGTCCTTGAACTAAGAATTCACAAGATCGATTAAAACAAATGAAAAATGTCACATATATCCTTCGAAATAAATTGGAGTGTATCTTTGGTAAATTGTCCCATAGTTGAATATTAAATAATATTAAAATTTCATGCAACAAGTATCCTTAATAGACGTCTAAAAAGATGCTAACTTTGGGTAGTTGCGACGATCTGGCAGTCAGTAGGGGCGATCAGTTTGCTGGGCTTGAGAATGGTAATATTGCCACGGTATTGCGTCGCAGACTCGTCAGAAGCTTGTGTATGGAAAAACCAACCACAAATTAATAAATTAATGCAATTAATTTTTTTGCATATCGAAATAATATAAGTACACCAATGAAAGTATTAAAGGGTATATTTCTCGTGTTGGTTTAGTTAAGATCAAACATAAGTACGAGACTGGCGACTATATTGGAAGAATGATTGATTATTGATATACTGCCATGCTCACGAACACTTTTATCATAATAAGCATAAAACATGGGTTAAGCATAATATTACCTGACATGACCCGTTTAAGTTTTTCAATGTGAGTCAAGGAAGCATTGCCGGAATCCACGATGATGAGTGAGACGTCCTCGGGACTCCACGCGTCTCCAGGCGGGCACTCAACCAAGACGTCAAACTTGCCTACACTGCACATCAGTCGAGTGATAACGCCGCTTTATAATCACGTAAACGATGAATAAAAAATATAACTCAGTACTCACTGCAGTGAGTGACAGAGAGCGCATTTTCTCGGCGACGAAAACGTGAAGTTACGGATAGACGGACAGACGGAGTTGACGAGCACAGAGCGCCTTTTTTCATAAATGAGGAAATGCGCTAATACTAAGTGATAATTTTTGCATGAGTAATAGATAATAATTGATCATTCATGAAGCCTATAAGTTGTGAATACATGTGCAATGATTTCTCTTATTCACTGTATTGCGCAAGCAGTAAAATATATTGTTTCCCAATGATGTCAAAATCCTAATCAGGATAAATTCTAGTAGAAAATCATAAAATTTACTTCTATCTCAAATCTCAAGTCTACTTTCATCGTAAATTCATAAATTTTACCCACCATTCTTTCAATTTAACAGACGAGGCCATATTCTATCATTCACAAACTTTTTTCATATCGTATTCATCTGCACGAGCTTTTTCGATGCTTGAAATATATTGAAGCAAGTCGGACATCATGTTGTTTATTTATTAGTGGATACTTTAACCCTAGTCATCTCTGGTGGTGACACACATCGTAGAAATATCACTGAAGTTTTATATTTCCCTTCTCCAAAATTAGAGTCTGTCATTAGTGAACGCCCGACTTTCTCTCGGAAAAGCCGTTGTTAGAAAATTAATATTACTGGACCGGAGTTCTATATATCACCTCCCAACATATTAAAGTCTGTCATTTAAACGCCAGATCTTTTTCCGGGAGTGTTAGTGGAAAAAAAATATTCCTGGACTGTAGTTCTTTATTTTGTCTATTGGGGTTTGTTGTGAGAAACATATACTGTATATAGTCCTTGCTTCCACGACCGTTTCTTGGAAAAAAATATTACCGGACCTGAGCTCTACATTTTTCCATCAGTGTTCGCCAAACTTCATTTCAGGATGATGATGGTAGGATAGAAATATTACTGGACTGGAGTTCAAGGTTTTTTTCATCAGTGTACGCCAAACCATATTTACTGGGCGTCGTTGGTCAAAGGAAGTATTCCTGGAATAGAGCTCTAAATTTCCTTCAGCAGTGTACGCTAAACCTAGTCTCCAGGTCGCTATTGGTAAAAAGAAATATTTTTTTTACGGGAGCTCTAAATAATCTCTTCAATGTACGCCAAACCTAGTTTTTGGGGCGCCATAGTTAAAAAAATATAACTCAGTACTCACTGCAGTGAGTGACAGAGAGCGCATTTTCTCGTCGACGAAAACTTGAAGTCACGGACGGACAGACGGACTGACATGGCGAGGACAGTAGTGCATTTTTTCCATAAATGAGAAAATGCACTAAAAATATTACTAGACTGGAGCTTCATTTGCTCCAGCTTTCCATTTGCAACATCAGCGTTTGCCCAACCTTGTTTCCGGGGAGCCGTTGGCGGTGTTGGGTTCCCAGAAGCGGTGTGGGCGCGCGGCGGGTAAGATGCGGGCGGAGTTGGGGGAGCTGCGGGCGCGCACGGAGATCGTGTAGTGGCCGTCCCCCGGCACACCCGTCAGGAACCCTGAGTACGCGCCGTCCTCGGCCACCGTATCTGCCGCTACACTCGGGGAGATGAGGGGGACTTTGTCCGAATAACAATATCACATATTCGACGATGTGGTTATAGATGGGATTTATACCTTAAAAATCTACTGTCAACTGCATCATAGAAAAATTTTACGACAATTGCAGTATAATTACATACGCAATCCTATACAGACGAGCAAAGAACAAGCGGTCGGAAATCTTAATGGAAGTATGTAGACTTCAGCTGCTCACCGAAACCAGTGTAGAGCAAAGGAATGACTTAAGTAAAGCGACTCACCGACGCCTGTGTCTAGCAGGGGAATGACTGCAGTGAAGGGAGTGACTCACCGACGCCTGTGTCTAGCAAGGCAATGACAGCAGTGAAGTTCTTGGGGCCAGAGATGACGGCCTCCACTTTGGCTCCGATGATCGGGGCGCCTCGTCCTTGTGTCAGTACAGTCACCAACCGCACTTGACTTCTGTGCCTGATCCTTCACGGGACAAGGAAGGTTCTTTGGGCCATGTTTTCAATGGCACTCTAGTGCAATAAGTCCTTTCTAATTTGTCTTAGAAGATTATTTGAAACTCTTCAGATGAAAATTTCGTAAAAACAACAATTTAGTTATTGTCAGAAAATAAATGTTTAGTTTGCAATGAAAATTGGAGCCCGTATTATTCTTTAATTTTATCTAGTGACGGACGGGGCCAGAAAATGTAAGCTGTGGGATGATTAAGATCAAAAATGATTTGAAATGAACAATTCCCAGTCAAAATTCGAATCCTTTACATATTTGAAGTTAAAGCATAATAGTATAGGAAAATGACGTATGGAGGATGCGCTACAATGATAATTCTCTGATTAATTACAAGACGATCGAAGGTTTTATGATACTCACCGTGACGCATGCTGATGAGAATACGGAACCGCCTCAAGCTCAGAGCTCGTTGATCCCGTAAACGATTCTTCTGTGGCAAGAGTTCCATATTTTCCAGCACTGCTGACTGCCGCTTCAGTGGAGGATTCGGGCATGATATTTTTCGGCGAAGTTTCAGTGGTTGACGCAGTCGTGGTGTCAACCGATTGTTCTCCACTCTTTTGGCAGCTAACTTCGTCCGGGTTCGTCACGAATAACTTGGTCAACATTCTTGGAAAAAAATCTGAATTAACTTCAAATGCCTTCAATATTGAGATTCCAAACTTTTTAGCCTAAAATTAGAATTTTAAAATTCAGCGGTGTATAAATTTATAATTAAGGTGGTCAATTACGTATTGGGCCCATATAGGGGTTAAGATTACACACAATTCTTGCACCAGTTGACAACCACGAATAAACAAACGTTGGAACAAATTTGTCTTAGCAAAGTTGCGTTACAAAAAAATTAGGGACAATAAAAATTGAGAATCCAGTACACCTGATATTTTCAGTTGTGCTGAAAAAAAGCTGGTAAAATAAAAAATGCATGTAAGTAGTTTATTATAAAATGCAGTGATAAACTGGTTAAATTTTTCGTTTTGAGCTTTCCAAATGTTACTCTGGAGTACGAATGAACTTTTTAGGCGGATGAGGATTTCGGTATAAATCAGAACGGAAAAATTGCGAATAAGTCACAATTCAACTCTATAGATAAAACCAAGCTTAAAATAATAATAATAATAATAATAATAATAATAATAATAATAATAATAATAAATAAATATCTCATAATGTACGCTGAAGTTTAATGTTTGAATCGGCTGAGACAACAATTTTAACTCATGATAAATAACCTTACAATGGGTAAAATGTACTGGGACTTTGTTTTACGCGCAGCTTCACACAGTTCTAGTGACAACAGAATATAAAAAAATATAACTCAGTACTCTCTGCTGTGAGTGACAGAGAGCGCATTTTCTCGTCGCCGAAAACGTGAAGTCACGGACGGACAGACAGACGGACAGACGGACGGCTGGACGGACGGACGGACATGACGAGCACAATAGGGCATTTTTTCCATAAATGAGAAATCCCCCAAAGAGCATAGATATACTTATATTATTAATAATATTGTCTTATTTGTATTTTAATATCTTTCTATTGATTCGCAATCGAGTGCGAGAAAATCTACATTCGTCACCATTAATTTGTACACAAATTCTAGATTGTCTACAATGATTTCTTTATTCTGATTCCGGCTTATGAATAGGTGTGAATTGTGAGTGTGTGGTGCTGGTGAAGGAGAAATATAGTCGGAAAAATATATGTTAAAGACAGAATCTGGGCAAGTTACGACGTAGTCTCGGCGATTTCGTATTTAATATCAACAATTTCTCAATAGGTTTGTAAAGTGATTCACCATTTGAGCAAAACAGCTTAAAGTTGAACGGAACATCTACAATGTGGCAATTGTTCATTGCACCGAAGTTCATATTTCTAAATTCCTGCTATTATCCCGTTTCCCTATATTCCTGTTTGTTTGACTGGAGTTTTCATTTGGTTTTATTAAGGTTTTTCTATACTTTCTAAGTTATTTCTTCATCTGTGGGGAGTTGGATATAGGATCAAATTTCAAGTTAGTTAAAATTGTAAATTCAAATCTCAATTTTTTAATTTAATATATTTTCATTTGTGTAGATTTATTATTTAACTCAGTGTTTTTGCACGTGTAGCGCGGCAATCACTTTCAGTGCTCGTGGATACCAATACCTCAAATGAGAGAGAAACCGTATAATTTGCATAATCCACACTTTATTAGAAGCAACAAGATTTGAAGTTAATGAGCATTCTAGCTTCATGATGCTGTGAGAAAGGAGTCGCTTATATGCACTATTATATATAATATAATATGCATGTCCAACATACGGAATTCAATTCCGAGAGATATTTTCAAAAGCTCCCACCTGAGAGCGAGTCTCTCATCCAGCGTCTGGAAAATCTTAAGCGTCGTAATCAGAGGAGACGGCAACTGGAGAGCGTTGACAGGCATCGCGGCGACGGTGACACGTATGTCGCCGTGGCTCTGGCGACAACAAACCACTTAGAATTACGGACGATACCTGCACTTGTAATTAATTTAAATTCAATGTTTTAAAATTAGTGCTGCATCTTCCGTTTACTCTGTGGATAGCTAAATTGCCACGGCTGGCTTTTGCCTAATGGTAAGTCCACGTTTATTTACATCCAACTGGAAAACCTGAACGCTTTTTTTAATTAATGGAAGAAATTAATCAGGTTTTTATTAAATTGAAGGGGTGAGTTGCATTAAATTATTGTTGAGTGCCATTTTTGAGATAAGGGTATTTGATTCAGAATTGTTGTGAGTTAGGATTGAAGCAGTGAAGAAAACGGTAACTTCAGCTGGTAATTATGCACATTTGTGATACATCTGCGAAGAAACTGCAATAAAAACAATGCTCAAGCCTGAGCTTCGGATAGAATAATCAGTATAGTTTTTTTTATAATAAAAAATGTCTTGATGCCATAACGAAGGTTAATAAAAATAAATCTTAGCAGACACTGCGGAAAGGCTCCCACGATTGGATATTACAGACATCACGGATAAATTTTCAAGCCGGATAAATTATCTAAAGAATATTTAGCGTGAAAAACATTTTGTAATGGGCGCTTGATGTTTATATTGATATAACATCGGACAAGAGTTCTTTAGTCTGATTCGTTCCGCGAATGCTGAGATCACATTTTGATATTGACGGAAACAATGAAACAGAAAATAAATATTTATTGAGCTTTTATCAATAATAAAATTTGTTGAATTCACACTAAAATTCCGGGTAGATTTAAATTAATAAATTTTCTGATGACGTTGATTAGAACAACCATGTTCCAATTAAGTTGATATTCGCAATTCCTGCGTTGAAATAAAAATTGTAATTGTTAATATACGTAATTATTTTCATATGTAGCTTTCAAAACTTTCCAAGTACAATTACACGCCTCCATTACTTTTATTTTTGGCTGCCATAATAAGAAACTGCAGAAGTTTCATCAAAGTAAGTAACATACAAAAGAACATTTCGCTCACTGATGAGCAAAGTAGCAGTTACTTACCTTGCTACTAAAAAACTGTGGAAGTTTTATTAAAGTAAGTAACATACAAAAGAACATTTCGCTCACTGATGAGCAGAAGTAGCAGTTACTTACCTCGCTGCTAAGAAACTGAGGAAGTTTCATCAAAGTAAGTAACATACAAAAGAACATTTCTCTCACTGATGTGCAGAAGTAGCAGTTACTTACCTCGCTGCTAAGAAACTGTGGAAGTTTCATCAAAGTAAGTAACATACAAAAGAATATTTCTCTCACCGATGAGCAGAAGTAACAGTTACTTACCTTGCAGCTAAGAAACTGTGGAAGTTTCATCAAAGTAAGTAACATACAAAAGAATATTTCTCTCACCGATGAGCAGAAGTAGCAGTTACTTACCTCGGTGCAGTGCAACTGGAAGACTTTGCTCCTGCTGTTGTTGCGCTGGAGCGGCCGAGCGGTCAACGACAAATTGCGCCCGGGCTTAGACAGCGAGAGATGGAGGCTGTAAAAATACAAGTCCAACATCGGCTTATGAATATACAATGCAGAATTCAGGAAAAATTAGATTATTAAAGAATATCAATTTTATAATTTATAAAATTGGATAATCAAGGAAAAAATTATATATTGGAGGAATACACTTTTTTTTAATCGTGGAATACGTGTGCATTAAATTTAGCCATATATAAGTAATTATAGTTAAAGCTGCAAACAATGCGTCTAAAATAATGTTTTAGACGCATATACAGGGGCAGAAATGAAATGTTCTGCGAACCTGTGTAGTTGCGGCGGCCCTTGCAGCAGCAGGACCGCGTGGCCCACACAGTGGTCCAGGAAGACCACATCTGACGCGGACCACATCGTGGACCCGGGCGCCATGATGAGGTCTTTGGAGTAGACCTATTGGGGTGTGGTGAGGGGGTGTAGTGAGGGGGTGTGTGGTGAGGGGGGGGATGAGAAAGATTCATTCAAAAGTCATTATTGCTAGTCTGTTTTCTGCGAAATTATTTTATTATGTATTATTTGAGAAAAATTACCTATGAAATATATCGAACTGTTTGCTCAGGATTTTTTTTATTTAATCAAAGAAATGATGATATAACTGACCTAAAGAGGGCTCTAGGTTAACAGTGACTTAAATAAATCGCTTGGAAATTTTAGAATTCACACTAAAAACACAGAACTAATTTCTCTCACGAAATTATGTATTCCTCTGTCAGATTAATTGAATAATTTATGCCCAAGAATAATTCAGAGAAAATTTTGATCGCACCATCTCTCTGAGGACGGAGCGTGCGTTGAACCTTCCGTTTTTGTGGCCTGATCCGTCCATGTTTTCATCCGTCCTGTGGACTCGTATTTTGTTATCATTCATTTTGCCGCCCATGTTCTCATCCCTCCTGTTGCCGCCCATGTTCTCATCCCTTCTGTTGCCGCCCATGTTCTCATCCTTCCTGTTGGCATCCATGTTGTCATCCCTCCTGTTGGCATCCATGTTGTCATCCCTCCTGTTGCCGCCCATGTTCTCATCCCTTCTGTTGCCGCCCATGTTCTCATCCCTCCTGTTGCCGCCCATGTTCTCATCCCTCCTGTTGCCGCCCATGTTCTCATCCCTCCTGTTGCCGCCCATATTGTCATCCCTCCTGTTGCGAACAGAGCCGTTGTTCTTCATGTCTCTGTTATCAATTGTGTCCAAATTCGAAGCCATTGGCCTGGCGATGTTATAACTTGTTTGTCTGTCGCTCGATGCAGTTTTTATGGCGTCCGATTCAAACTTGAGCGTTCGAAGAAGTGACGTGAGAATTTCGCTTAAATCCATGCTTGCGGGGTCGAACGACAGACATTGATCGTTCTGATGGGAGAACGAAAGAAGAAAGTTTGTAGCATAAAAAGAAAGTTTTCATTCAGAAAGTTTTAGCACAACGAATAAAATTAGAATTAATGTTTAGTGAGAATAATTGCTATGATTGAAACTAATGAACTGCAATTGATCTTGTTATTTTAATGCAGGTGCACTTGTGACAGGATGTTGTTTGATGTAGTCCATCAACACGATGATGAAATTATCGTTTACAAATGCTGCATTAGAGAAAAATGTGAGTGAGTCCAATTAATTTTGTTAGATATTAATTTTCGCTTTGTCAATTGCTTACTGATTTAGATGTGATGCTTCGAGCAGATCGAGATCTCCGAGTTCGTTTGATTTGACTTAATATTGAAAGTTTTATGACACCATGATAAGATGGTCGAAGGACGGTAATTTGCCTTAAAATTAATTCAGAAATTACTTTCACATTGATTTCTAAAGAAATCAAATTTGTGCGAAAATTTACGCCTATCATGAGCACAAAACCGTACCCAGAGAATCATGTGCATTGAATCAAAGCCTATAGATACGCGTGTGCATGGAACCAGATTCACTGCACGTGTACAGTCTACTCCTGCCAGACTCACTGCACGTGTACAGTCTCCTGCCAGGCTCACTGCACGTGTACAGTCTCCTGCCAGACTCACTGCACGTGTACAGTCTCCTGCCAGACTCACTGCACGTGTACAGTCTCCTGCCAGACTCACTGCACGTGCACAGTCTCCTGCCAGACTCACTGCACGTGTACAGTCTCCTGCCAGACTCACTGCACGTGTACAGTCTCCTGCCAGACTCACTGCACGTGTACAGTCTCCTGCAGCAGAGAGGAGTCGCAGAGCGCTGCTGGTCTCTGGCCTGACGCTCGCAGAGACGCGCGCGACGAGGTCGTCAGTCTTCGCAACCACCGCCACGACGAGAGAATTATTTTCCGACAGCAGAGACTGCACAGCGTAAAATCATCTTATGGCGATTTTTTTCCCAGGAGATTTTTTGAAAGTTTATGAGATAAAATATGATACAAACTTACGGTTTTAAAAACAACCATCGAATATGCAAACTAAATAATACGAGTTTAGGACTAATTAAATAATACGAGTTTATGACTAATCAAATAAAAAGACTTTAGGACTAAATTAATTAGGGCTTAAAATTAAACATAAAGGACTAATGTTTAATTAATTAATGTTTACTCAATACGTCAGATTAACATGACTTTAGTTAAGTGGTGATGGATTGGACAATTGTAAGTTGGCAATCAAACCTGCAGCGCATCCTCTACGAGTGGACTAGAGGCGTTACACTCCGCGATGACATCGTTTGATGATGGATATTTGGTCTCATAACTGCTTGATCCACTTGAATTCATAAGCGTGTATCCAAGATAAGCTTCACTTTCGTTTCTTTCAATGGATTCATTAAATGAATTAGTCGTATACAAATGAATCGGGTCAACAGGGGGCATCATTTTTTCACTGAGGTCAGTCGAAGAACCAACGGATGTTTGGGTCGCTGAGTAATTGTCGGGACGTCTGTCCGATTGTACGAAAATTATTTTCACGACCAGGTTTGGCGTTGAAACTGTGCTTTGAAACCTGAAACAGAAATGATTTAATTATCCAAAAATCACGGTTATCATCACGGAATTATTCTGGTAAAAATGAACTATTGACCTATATGAAATAACACGGAATGCATTCTGCTGCGGAAAAGATGGGGCGTTAATTTTGCACATCATGCGAATAATTACTCTATTGATAGCAACTCCTGCTTTGATACTAGCAAGTCCTACTTGGATAAAAAACACTCCTGCTTTTATACTAGCAACTCCTAGCAATCGATTCTTGGACACTATATAGTAACTCCTACTTGCATGCAAGCAATTACTACTTGGATACCAGCAACTCATACTTGGATACTAGCAAGGCCTACTATAAATGCTCCTACTTAAATAGTAGCAGCTCCTACTTGCATACCAATTAAGAACGCCTACTTGGATACCAGCAATTCCTACTGTGATTTTAGCAATTCCTACATGCATGAATACTCAGCTCCTATTATAACAGCTCCTACCTAGGCACTAGCAACTCCTACTTGAATGCCAGCAAATTTTACTTCTTGAGAACTTTTAAGTCACTCACAATTCCAGCTGATCGGAAATGAGCTGCAGTTGCGGCGCCGAACACTCGAGTACGACAGCCAGGGTAGTGAAATGAAATCTTTTTCGTACGTAAAACTTGACTTTACTGCTGACGGAAGAGTGAGAAGCCCTGAAAATTAGAAAACAATTAGAGATATTCTAGGATACTGTTTGTAAAACTGGCACTGTGATTATGGAAGCAAAAATTGTTGAGTATAAAACCAAGAATGAGTATGAGTTGTGTTGGAACGAATTGAATTAGAATTTTTTTTTACATATTATGACTGAGTCAAAAATTATGTCTGAATCAATTTGCTATTAACTATGCCGAAAAACTCCTTTAATTAGTCATTAAAAATATATTTTTGTAAAATATAAACGGGAGGGGGAGATCTCTTGTTGTAATTTCCCATTCTGGTAGTGGCAACTAGGTAAGGGAGGGGGTGATAGGCCAGTTTTTCCGGGCACTTAATATGCCACTGGTAGTTCCACGACCATCACTGGCTCGCTGACCCGACAGAACCATTTTATTGCATTACACAACATCCTGGACAAGCCAGGTACTCATTTATCAACCAGAGTTGGATGAATGGCTGAGTTGACCATGAGCGGAGCTTCCTAGAAGAACTTGTCCTCAGTGGGACTCGAACCCGGGAGCTGGGCGCGAGAGATAGAGTCTCTCACCACTGCACCACCACAGCTCACTTCTCTTGTCGGCTGTCGTTGCTGCATTTGGGGGCGAGGTCTCTATGCGAACTGATGACTTCCCACACCGACTGTCCCGCGCACATGAAGTTGTGGAGCGTCGGGGCCTCTGGGTCGTGGGGCACTCGGGCGGTGCCGCAGAAACGATCAATCATCTCCTCTATCTAATAAAATAATTACTTAGAGTTACCAGATAATTTTCTAGTCTAGATAACAATAAAATACATACTAGATAACAATTTATTAAACTTTATAAGCGAATCAGCGTATATTATGTTTCAATTCTCGAATGAGCGCACAATCATGAATTGGATCTTAAGGTTTTCGGTTAGTTTAGTGAAAAGATTGAGAATTTATCTCACTTTTCACTATTAAATTTATTCATTTTATTATGAGAAGTAATACCAGGTAAATGCAAATGTGGCCACGTATATTGCATCTTATTAAATAGATTCATAAATGTAACAAATTAACTCATCTGAGTTTTCGAATAATATCTGAGTTTTCGCCATGTGACAGCTGAATTAGGACCAATCAGAGCATTACGACTGTAGCAATCTTTTGGAGGCACTGTAAGCGTTTTGAAGAGTAAAAAGATTATTTTGTTTGCGTTCTGATGGCCCCCTGGGGCCATACTTTCAAAACTCGCTAAGTGTACCTAAGTAGTTACGCTCTATTTTCTTGTCTATGATTGGTGGATTTTGCTTGAAAGGCCGTCAATGATTGGCTGATGAACTTACGATCTCTTAACTTTTTTTGGAAGTAAAGACCCGGGCTGCTCCATACCTCCCTTTTGCCTCCTAAGTAGCCCATCAGGGACCTAACCACCGCCTGGTCAGGATCTGGGTAGAAAAAGCAGTCTTGTGGAGGCAGGCTCTCGTTATTCCTAGCTAGACAAAGCCCTAGTGCAGAGTTGATCCTTTCGGGTTGAACAGTAACATTCGTAAGTGGAAACATCACAGAGGACGCTGTAGAATCGATGCGGCGAGCAATCCACCCTGTGGTGTTTCTAGGACAAGCTGAAGCTCGGATCTGCAAATAGACGAATTTGTGACGACAGCGGAAAAATAATTTAATTAGATAGCAGATTCTCAGGTAATTTGAAAAAATTGTTCGGGTAAAGACTTGAATCAGATTTACCACTTCACTGAAATAAATTATTAGAAATAAAGGGCGCATTAAACTGTGCATGCTTAATCTATAAAATACATTTTAGTTTACTTGACAAGACTCAATTATTAGTGCTACAGGCTTGTATAGTAGAAAGTGAGTCCAATATTAATTACATAGAAATGTTAATCGTCGCTCGTAGATGATTTACAGTAACTTCATGTTTTTCTTCCATAACAGCCTGAGGAGGAAGAAACGTATGAATTTGAGAGCTAAGATTGGCTTGAAAATTTTCATAAATTAATAAAGATGCCGTCAGGAGAGCGAGTATTCTGTTGTTACGTAGAATGCACAACACATGTCCAATGACAGAAAACAATAAAAGTATCATGATTTTACTTGCCTGAGGTATTTATTTCGCTGAGGTATCCTCTGAAACAAATATGGTTTCATTTACCTGTAAATCATCGTCCAAGTAGAACGGCCATTCATCATTCGGTCTGCGAGAGGGCGAGTCGACGTATTCATCAAACACGCCCCAGCGGTAGTGAGCCCACTCGTGAATAAATACTCTCCCTAGTGGGAGATAGGTCACTTTTTAATCATCCTTTATTTCGAATTGTTAGACTTACATTAAAAGCAAATAATGTTTGATCTACTAATCGTTTTAAGAAACCGACTATCACCGTTGATATAGACTACATTTGGTTACAAAAATAGCAGTGAAAACTTCGGATTTTGATAAAAATAATCCTTCAGGCTGGAGTAAAACTTGAATGACTTATGAGGGTCACTGTTTGTGGCCTACTGTAAATATTATTCATATTTTTTAACAAGCATATTTATCTTCACTTTCTCTCTGACTATGGCAATTAGAAACATTTAATTTAGCGTCAGTCTTAGATAGTTTTTGTTGTTCAATTTTGTAACCAGATTTCCAGCTCCATTCATCAAATTTTTAAGCTCGGAGTGGCCGAGTGGTTAAGATCATAACGATTAGAGCAGAGAGTTGAAGGTTTTCAGCCCACATTTAGTTGTGAAATTTAGATCCGAATACGGCAAGTTGGCCGGATGATAAAAATTGGCTACAGGGCAACATGGCCTAATCAAACCTGTCACCACTACATCATAAGCAGTTAACCTTTGCATTTTTCGAGTGCATTTGCTTCTGTCAACAGCTTTTGATATTATGCGAGGAATGCTACGGTCCTAAATTCTTTTCCACCGCGAAATTTATCACGAAATGAACAGAACTCTACATGCTTGCACGGTCTCAGTCCTCACTAGGGGCGCCGATTTTCAACGTGGCCAAAATACTCCGCATGTTCTTGACGTAGTCAGGGGTGAGGTGGATGTAGAGTCCCTCTTCTCCACATCCACCAGGCTGCAGGGTGTACGGGATGTGTCCGTACTGAGGGTCTGGCGCTGACACCACCACCGACGGAGACTGCACCGCAACCTGGACCAGTCAACGAGCATTTTAGGGTAGCCTTATTCGCGGTCCAACAGAAGTAGCAACTAATTTATACCTAATTTTTATACCTTACTTGGATTAATTTGGTGGTAATTGGCTCAATCAATAGACTATAGGTGTCGGTCTTTGTCAAGATGCCGACGCAGCAACATAAATGGGATTATATAATTCAATTTGAATGTTACACAATTGACCTGAAGAAAACATTCATGAATTATTCACTCGTCGCAAAATTTTAAGTAGTCCCATATCTGGTGTATTTGGAATGTAAAAATACGAGGATTTTAACAATGGCCTACATAAGAATATTACACAAAAGGGAAGTGTTAAAAATTAATCTTATAACTCTATAGAAAAAATATTAAACCTCCTCAAAGTTGAGTCAAGATTTGTTAACGAACTATAATCTTTCAGCAGTGGATCGTGTTGATTACTTCTCGTATTGATGGATTGAGTGACGAAATTTGAAATTTCAGAAAATAATGATCTTGCAATGGATCATTATTTAATGGTCTTGTAATGGAGGTTGCCTTCACCTTAATGATCTTGTAATGGAGGTTGCCTTCGCCTTAATGATTTTGTAATGGAGGTTACTTAATGGTCTTGTAATGGATGTTACCTTCACCTTAATGATATTGTAACGGAGGTTACCTTCACCTTAATGATCTTGTAACGGAGGTTACCTTCACCTTAATGATCTTGTAATGGATGTTACCTTCACCTTAATGATCCTGTAATGGATGTTACCTACACCTTAATGATCTTGTAATGGATGTTACCATCACCTTAATGATTTTGTAATGGATGTAACCATCACCTTAATGATTTTGTAATGGAGGTTACCTTCACCTTAATGATCTTATAATGGATGTTACCAGTAATGGTGGTTACCTTCACCTTAATGATCTTGTAATGGTGGTTACTTTCACCATAAATGATCTTGTAATGGAGGTTACCTTCACCTTAATGATCCTGTAATGGAGGTTACCTTCTACTTAATGATCTTGTAATGGAGGTTACCTTCACCTTAATGATCTTGTAATGGAGGTTACCTTCACCTTAATGATCTTGTAATGGAGGTTACCTTCACCTTAATGATCCTGTAAAGGTGGTTACCTTCGCCTTAATGATCTTGTAATGGAGATAACCTTCACCTGCAGGGTAGGTTCTTGACGCTGCCAGTGGTGTGGGATGCTGATGGTCACTTCACCAAATTCCAGAGGCCTCGTGCCTGCCTTGTCCGCTGTGAGCTCCCTCAGCACAGAGGATGATAAATTCAGCATTATCTGCAAATGATATATATGATATAACACACAAAAATATATATCTCTAGCTACTGTGAGGCTTAATACGAAAAAATTTCGAAGAATTATTAAACGCGTGTAATTACAGTTCAAAATACTTGTACATTCGTGGATATTTTCTTCAAGTTTGATATCCCGGTCGTTATACGTGTGATTTCGTTACAGAATTAATTGTAAACGGCATTTATTCTAGTTTTTAATTGAATTTGGAATATATGTTTAAGTTGCATTAAAGATCGTTACGCATAATTTTAGGGTCTTGTAAGTAAGTTACGCGTCACTTAACAACGGACCGGTAACTATAATTGCCTTTATATTGGTTATATGACGTTAAAGATTTATTTATTTTTATGAATCAATAATTGCAACACTAGAAACCAACGAACAGTTCTCAGTCGTGAACGTGACTTGAGAGCTGCCAGTCGCCTTCTAATTTGATTTAATTATGATCTATGTATGATCCATGTATTTGTATGATCCATGTATGAACAAATTGAGTAGAAGTAAACGCATTTTATTTCTTAGTTCAGTTTCTTAATCTATCATCCCAGCGACTGAGAAGGCAAGCAATGCGTGACATTATTCAAGAATAATTTTGTTTTAGAGTAAAAGAATTTATGTCTTTGCTTTTCTTAAATTGTAAGTTAACCGAGAACTTGATGGTAAATATAAAAATTAGTAAAATAACTGCATCTTCATTGAAAACGTTTCCGGCTCCATCATTACTCAAAAAATTTATTGAATACATGTACACTCAAAAGAGAGAAGGCAAATTTAAACGAAAGAAATTGAATCCTAGATAAATAATTATTGGACCAAAGAACACAAATACATAGAGGTTAAGAATTTACACTTGACGTCTTAATTTCATAGCTTCTATAATATCTTCATCAAAATGTTTTCGATGGATTCATAATGAATTTAGGCGCTCTTTCCTATGCTATTTAATTCTGTATGAGAGGGTACTTCGTATGAATGTTCAAGTGTTAGAATATTTATTGATTTGAAGCTATTACTGATGAAATATATTGTATTGATAATATAATTTGTCGTCATGTTCCAAAGTTAAACCCAAACCACCTTCCGCATTTTGAAATTTTGAATTCCTTATCTTTCCTACAGCGTTATTCTTTTTACTTTTTTTTTTAATTTTGTTGGAAGAAATATTAAGTGTTCCAATAGAACGAAAATTAATAAACACTCATTAAAAAATAAATATTAATTACTTATTGAAATAAATTAAAGTTTACACGACTTTCTCACATCACTTTTGCTATTTTTGTTGAAACAAATTATTTTACGATAACCTAACACATGGATAGGGCAACAGCCTCTTTCTAAAGCAAATGACGTCAATTTGCACGACTCGAACTGATCTTATTCACATTTAACTAAAAAACAATTCTTGAGCCTGCTTTTAGAGGGATATAAAGAATAAGTCTGTTCGTATTATGTACAGTTGCTGATTATTCATGTTAGAGTAAATAGATGTCAGGATGTTATGAATCGATTAAGCAAACCGATCTAGATTTCTTTAGATGTCAAGCTAACGTAATTAGCAGACGTCAAGTAAACAAGTACGTGCACAATTAAAAACAACACGCATAACGCCACTAAAGAACAACACACATAACGCCACAGAGAATAACACGCATAACGCCACTGAGAACAACACGCATAACGCCACTAAGAACAACACGTATAACGCCAGTAAGAACAACACGCATAACGCCACTAAGAACAAGTCACTAAGAACAACGCGCATAACGCCACTGAGAACAACACGCATAACGCCACTGAGAACATCATACAACACACAGATAAGAACAATACACAAGGCTAAAAGTTTGCTGTGCGTAAAGCCTGTATAATTAGCGCTTGTCAAGTAAACAACTGTGCAGGTCCTGGGCTAAAATCTTGCACTATGCAATGCGCTTATTTTCAGGATTGGTTGATTAAAAGAAAAATAATTGAGGTTGATTAGATGAAAACTATCTGCTGTTATGTAATTTTAATGCAACGATTAAAAATGTTCAGCTCCATTAAAACATGCACATTGGATATAAAAATGACTTCTCTTATATCGCGTAATTCACTTTGAGTCAGAATTTTTTCGACGCCAGCGATTAATTTCCCATTAGAGTCTAGTCACGACACATTGAAAATGCTTTAGACAAATGGGATCGATCATATTTATATTACCTGCAGTTCCTCGATGAGTTTATCATCTTCTTTTACATCGTCTTTAATTTCGATAACGATTCCATAGTATTTTCCATCGATAACCTCAACCTCGCCAGGGGTTTTAGGTTCTCTTCCCGCTTCAATCTCATCCTTCTTGTCCACCGCCGTGTTTTGAAACGGTTTTGTGGCTGTTTCTCCAGCCACGACAGTAGTTGTTTCCGTAGGGAACGTGGAAACTAAAGCGTTTTGGCCGGTGTTTAAAGCTACATTAGGCTCTTCAATATCAGTTTCTTCGTTTAGTCCCCAACCAACGTTATTTGTAGTGGCTAACACCTTGGTTATTAACGAAGACACGAGCACCACACGTAAAAGTAATGGTTTTAGCCTCACAACTGCCATTCTCTTTAGACAAAATTACAAGTTCTAACCTAGCTAGGGGTTATTTATAATGAGATCAAATTTAAATGTAAAAATTGCAATATCGAGACAATTTGAGAATAAAGTCGCTCTGAATGAAATTTGTAAGCTGTGAAAAGAATGTATGAACAGTGAATAGAATTTGTGAACCGTGAATAGAATAAAAATCTAATATTTGTGACACATCCGATGGCTCCGATTTCACAAATTTGTAGAGATGAATAACCAAAGTGAATAATAATATTTAAATCATTAAGAACATGCGTATTAATGCTATCATCCAGCTTCTGAATTGTGCTTGACTAACTACAAGCAAATTACTCGGCCATTTAGAAAAGTTCGATGGGCGTTCAAAAATGTCATCAAGGTTACAGAATGACGACAACATGCATCAGCACAACAGGGAATTAGAGCGAAGCTACAGCAATAAGATAGCAAAATTAGGGCTTATTTGTGAATTTAAACTTCCTACACGTTCATAAACAAACGTATACAACTTTTCCTGCAGTACTTGCGCACTCACTACACTAACTACACAGGTTTTCTGCAGGTGATTTGGCAGTCTTGCTCCTAGGATTGCATGAGCTGCACTGCCGGCGGGGACGTAGCTGTACTGACGAAGGTATCCTGGATGCGACGAAGACGTTATCGTATCCTGAATCAACAGTGACTGTACGACATGTGCCGCAACTGTGCGACGTGTGTTGTTAGTAACTGTACGACGTATGTTGTTCTTGGCTGTACGACGTGTGCTGCTCGTAACTGTAAGACGTGTGTTGTTCGTATCTGTGCGACGTCTGTTGTTAGTAACTGTACGACGTGTGTTGTTAGTAACCGTACGACGTGTATTGTTGGTAACTGTACGACGTGTGCTGTTCGTAACTGTACGACGTGTGCTGTTAATAACTGTACGACGTGTGTTGTTCGTAACTGTACGACGTGTGCTGTTAATAACTGTACGACGTGTGCTGTTAGTAACTGTACGACGTGTGCTGTTAGTAACTGTACGACGTGTGCTGTTAGTAACTGTACGACGTGTGCTGTTAGTAACTGTGGGACGTGTGCTGTTCGTAACTTTACGACGTGTGCTGTTCGTAACCGTGCGACGTGTGCTGTTCCTAACCGTGCGACGTGTGCTGTTCGTAACTGTACGACGTGTGTTCGTAACTGTGGGACGTGTGTTGTTAGTAACTGTATGACGTGTGTTGTTCGTAACTGTAAGACGTATGTTGTTAGTAACTGTATGACGTGTGTTGTTCGTAACTGTACGACGTGTGTTGTTCGTAACTGTACGACGTTTGCTGTTCGTAACTGTACGACGTGTGTTCGTAACTGTACGACGTGTGTTCGTAACTGTGGGACGTGTGTTGTTCGTAACTGTACGACGTGTGTTGTTCGTAACTGTACGACGTTTGCTGTTCGTAACTGTACGACGTGTGTTCGTAACTGTACGACGTGTGTTCGTAACTGTGGGACGTGTGTTGTTCGTAACTGTACGACGTGTGATCGTAACTGTACGATGTGCGTTGTTCGTAACTGTACGACGTTAGCTGTTCGTAACTGTACGACGCGTGTTCGTAACTGTACATGTGTTGTTCGTATGAATGCGTGATTCGTTCGATGAATGCGTGGTTGAGCACGCAATGTAAACTGTATGCACTACTGAAACAGTGTTTCTCGTTGCTCTGATTATGGTGGTTAATTTGCTTTGCTTTGTCACAATATTTTGATTTGAATGAGTACTCTGCATCACCGTCATTAAATGCAATATTAATGATGATATTGACAGCAACAAAGTAGTACGGAGTTAGACTCGCTGTTGTTAAGTGAAATTAAATTTCAAGAAGAAGTGTTACATTAAAATACTAAGATGGCAGGATGACCTTCAGTTCATGGCTGACTTCGAGAGGATGCTTTGAATCGTGCACGTTTCCTAGCGCACTGATAATTCACGACGAGTGACTTATAGATTAGGCACGATTCCTAGAAAATGCTAGAAAATGTTTTTTCTCTGTTAGAATTCATTTGAGTTAGGATTTCCGTGCCTAAAGAATTGCTGTCCAAGCTTCTATTCTTAATTTCGTATATCACGAATAGAGAAATGCTAAATTATTTTATACCTTATATATAAAAATTATTTTTCAAACAATCTGGTCGAAGAAGCGTTATTTATTAATTTTCCCGCATAAGAAACTTTATTATTAAATGAAGAGTAAAATCAAATTCGTGGTTGAGACGCTCCGTCTTGAGAAACAGAGAATTCAGAGGCAGCACAAATCGAGAAAAGTTTGATGTCCAGTCTGCGAGACGTTAGAATTTAATTAAGTGAATATAACAAACGAATTGGGACTATCGATCGTCGACTACTGCGTTGTGTTGCAGCTGACGACTTCAAATTTGTAGATCTTAGCTTTTTCCTACTAAATACTAAAAAAATTTCGCATATTATTCGATTTATAGCTTTATGTTCAACTTTCTAAGATAAAAAAAAGCGCATCTATTAGACCGGCAGAATTTTAATCTCGCCATGAAATTTTGTTGCTAAATATCAATTATTCTCGTATATCGTCTGTATCTGATCTCTCTTCTTCCCGTGAAAGCCAGTTGAAATGTGAAAAAAAGCTTTGAAATGAAAACAAATAGGATTTATTCATTTATTATTCACATCTAACATTGCCCTGCTCGCAATTCCAATCAACATCGTATATATTTTTTAATTAGTACGGAGTTAGATTTGCTGTTGAAAGAAACAACGAAAATGGTTCATCAACGAGAGTATAAATAACAATGAATTGAGATGTTGTGAAAGAATTAAAAAATGCATAGATTGAAGTTACCAGATACCTATATGATCTATGATCTTTATAACCGCTTCAAGAAGACTGTAGATTCAGCTTTCACCCGACATACTATTTACCTAATTTTCATTGCCCATTAAGATAGTTGACTAAAGTGACAGTTGACATCAGCATCAGATGACATCAGCGATAGTTGACATCAGCGTCAGATGACATTATCGTCAGTTGACATCAGCGTCAGATGACATTTTCGTCAGTTGACATTATCGTCAGTTGACATCAGCGTCAGTTGATATCAGCGTCAGATGACATCAGCGTCAGTTGACATCAGCGTCAGATGATATCAGCGATAGTCGACATTGATAGTTCTTCATTAAGATAATACAGGCTTTTGGAGGTTGTACGGCAGGAGATATACAGAGAAATTTTCTTCGCAGTTCTGATCTATAGTAGTTAATTACTACTAGAAACAGAGTCACTAGAATAGAAATTGTCTCTATTTTCAGTTACACAAACGACCGATGGAATTACGAAACAAAGAGACAACACAGACGTATATGAAGGTTCAAAGATAAAATTTTTAATTAATTCTTTCCTTCCGGAAATAAAAATTTTCAGTCGTTGTAAATTGTTGCAGTTTTTCAATATATGTGGTTAAGAAATGTCACGATCTTGACAACCGTATCCGTTTTCATTGACTGATAACACTCAACTTAAAGTAAGTAAAATGTTGATAATAATAATAGTATAAATAATAATATGATGTACCTAATAAATTAAAATATATTATCATATGATAAAAATAGAACATATCGATATGCACAAGTTAAGATCAAGTTTAGCCAATTGCTAACGTACCGCAATGTTTTGGTATCAGTTGCAACAGGATATTGGCGACTGGTGATTTACTGAAACGTTGCAAGAAATACAATTGACATGAATACAGAAGTACAGTTTGGAGCAGTACGTACATCCCAGGAGCACCAGACATGTAATATTCACAAAACTAAAATTAAATTAGAATTCAATGAAAGTATGTACAAAACGTTTTAAGGGGTAACATTCGAAACCCACGAATGTTTTTTCCGTCCGCTATCAACTTCTCGGAAATTCATTTTTTTATACCCTACGGACAACAATGCATTTAGACCATTATATAGGATTTTCATCACTTGCTATGAATACATTATTTCATTCGTGAATCGCGATCATAAATCTCCCGATCCTCAAAAGAAGTCGATGTCTCTAGGAATCTTGATTTTTTCACATCTTGGACCTCTGCTACCATCGTCGAATTTTTCCGCCCTGGCTTCTCGCGTCTGTAAGTTTGGATGACCACAGATCCATCGTTGGGCACCGCAGAGGCAGCCTGAAACACATCATAAATGTTGGTTCTTTTTAGCATAATTATATTAAGGATAGCAAGCTGTTTTGCAACAGGCTTACGGCTGCGGGTTTTACGGCTATGATCCTAGTAAAGGCATTAATAATAAGAAGTTTTCTATCAATAAAATGCATTGGAAGCATTGAAAACGAATAAGAAATTTCCAAATTAAATTTTGTATGACTTTTAATGATATCACTACATGTAGTATGGTCAGATTAATGCTAAACTTGTAATTTACCTGAATAATAAATTTGATGATAACTATTGGCATGACCGACCAAAAAAATACGAATAAATGAATAATCTTCATAATGAATTTATGCAAATTTTAAAAATGAATGGAACAGTCAATTGAATGGAGTGAGGCTTCATCCACTAGCTATGCACTATTTGCTGTTTTGTGCGTCATCCTGCCTCAGTTTGGCTCGGCTATGGGCGTATCAGTGCTACGTCCGCACTCAGCTAGTGCTGCAGGAAAAAAGTGTCATTTTTTTGGACAATATGACTCATTAATTTCATTTCTTTGAGTGTAGCAGAGACCTGATCAGGGTAAGCGCGGCGCAGTGGCTGCCGGTACACGACGCTGTAGAACTGCTGGTCTCCACACCCTGCCTTCAGCGCCGCCTCAGGATGCTGTGTTTGATTAATACGTCTCTTATTAACACGTCAACATATATAAACATTATTAAAAATTATCAATATTTCTAACATTATATTGATTAAAAACTTCAAAACTGGTAAATAATTATGCAGTGGTCACTTCTTGATGTTGGAAGCGATGCTCTGCCTCTGGATCATAGGTTGAAGAGGCAGAATGTTTGTACAAGACATCTGCGTACGCGTGATACTCAGCCTCAGCTGACGATCCTGAAAAGACAAATTATTTGTTAAATGTCAACTAGCAAAGATGAGATGTAGCGTGCAAAGTATTTTAGGTGAAGATAAAATAATATATTGTTTGGCCAAGCGATAGTAGACAATTTGATGTCACAGTTTTCGTTTTGGTACGCTTGGGAACGGCGTGCGCAAGAAGTGATCAATTTATAATCTAGTGAGTTTATCAATCAAGTGATCAATTTATAATCTAGTGAGTATGGTCAAACGTAGACAATTTGATGGCGCAGTTTATAGGCTGGAGTAGGGTTCAATTCAAGTACGAGTAGTGAGATGAGTCAACTAATTGAGTGTAGCTTTTAAACAACGAAAGAGAAACAGATTTGCAACTAGAAAATGGACGTGCATGATAAATTTATGGGATAAATTTGTTATATATTTGATCCTCAAACATGGTAGTGGTAAGGCCGTCGTTATTCGCGAGTTATAAAAATGACAGTAACGTAGCATTCGTTACTCGATGGTGAAGACGCCTGCTACCAGCCCGTTATTCACTGGCTATATAATAACCATCAGGCAAATGTTGTTGAAACAACGTTAACGTTGTTAGGGACCGCCTGTAAATATAATAATTTTATCGATAGTTAGGTATGCTTATTTATTGACTAGTCCCCATCAACGTAACGTTGATTCAATGAAAAGACGTTTTAAACATTGTTGATTCAACGTAACAAGATTAGTGGGTTACTAACTGGATTCTACTCCTCGGACGTGATGCCTGCTGGTGTTGGCGACTTTTTTCTTAAAGTTGTCGTCGTCTGTTTTGACGTCATTCTGAATAACGTCAGAGGAGATGTAACTATTGAGTCCGTTGCTGGAAGGCTTTGCGGTCGCCAAACGCGACCGACCTTGAAAAGAAGGAAATCTATTTAGTTCTTCGACTTCTTTCTTCAAATAATTATGCATTTATACGCTTGAAATTCACTAAGAAGAAGCCTACAAATGTTTCAATAAGATTTAAAAAAATTTAAGGCTCTAGATTCCTTTTTTGGTAATCGTAAGAAAAAAATGCACACAAAATGCTAAGCGCAGAATCTCCTTACACGCTGACTTTTTGTTTACAAATTGATATGTGTTTATGACATTTCAATATTTCAACTGGATAGATAACACGATCTGACTAGTTGAAATAACACGGGCATCTCATGTAAAAGCGAAGCTACCCTGCCTGATTTCGCCGAAGTAGTCGCTTATATGCTCTAATTCTTTTGCATTGAAAAATTGCATAATGTTTCTATATGTTGAAAATTACTAATAAAAAGTCAAAATTTCTTGAAGCTGAAAGACTTGGATCAATTTTGGACTAAAAAGTAATATAGGATCTTGATATATTTAAGCTTTTTGCGAAGGTAAGCCCTTACGACTTCTGATTTTGCGAAGGTATTCATAATATCAATAAGTAATTACGATTTCTGATGCAGAGGAGAAGCTTGACCGCGGCGCCGAGCAGCAGCAGCAGACACGACAGCGCCGGCGCTACGACGCGCATGTCCTGCCATACCGCGGCCGTGTGCGGGCCCTGACCGGCTGTGGCGCGGCTCCACGGGCTGTCCACACCTGTGATTAAATTTATCTTTGATATATATGATATAATATATGATATATCTTTGATATATAATTATAATAATATATGATATATAATGATAACAATTATTTTTCCTAAGTAATCAGCTTGAACAATCGCTTCTAGGTATAATTAAGTTGCAGCAACCATTTTTATTTGTTAAACGATGACGCTTTATGGCAGAATGTAGCTTTCTGCAGTGTTTTGGGTATTCACTATCAGAAAAAGTGTGGATATTTTTCGTTACGATAATGATTTTGATTATTATGGATATCATGCAACTTCCGTGTCAGGAGTGACCTAAAGCGAGGTCGGCCTGTAGGCTGAACACGGCGATTTTTCGTCACGATAATGAATATGATTTCGTTATAAATGATTATGATGATTATGATTATGATGGATATCATGCAACTGCCGTGTGAGGAGTGACCTAAAGCGAGGTCGGCCTGTAGGCTGTACACGGCCGCCGTAGCGCCGGCCGAGTTGTGGGCCGTGACGCGCAGGAGACGCACGGTATGCAGGGGCTCCAGGCCGCCCACCGTCAGCGTGCGCGTAGGCGCAACCTCGGCGTTTACTGAAATTTAATAACGATATCTCAATGAATAAAAAAAACTTGGTAAAAACGTGGTAATTTTTTTATATATTTATTACTTCTGATGATAAAAACGTGGCAAAATTTTTTTAATTATTACTTCTGATGATCAAATCTTGAATTGTTAGGCAGCATAAGCATGCACGCCAAATTTCAAGTTTCTAGGATCTTCAGAAGTGCTCTAAATTAAGGTTTGAATTTTTTATGACAGAAAGAGACGAAACGAAACTAAGAAAAACGTTGTAATAAATGCGGAAATCAAAAAGAGTTCAATGACTAATGTCGATAAAATTAATTACAATTAAGAGAGTTCAATTCATAATATCAATAAGTAAATTAGAAATTAAAATAATATTAATTGCGTAAATTAGTAAGAGTTCAATGAACAATTTCGATTCAACGAATAATAATAAATTTCAACTGCATAAAATAAATGAATTAATTAATATTAATTCAATGACCTATGTAGGCAAGAACGATAAGATAGGTTATCATTGGAATGGTAAAATTTTCTGAATTTAAGTAAACAAATAGATTTAGAGTATAAAATTCATTCTGAGATATTTTCATAAAAAATCGTGCTCTATAAAATGAATGCTTAAATAAAATGGTGTTCAGTAAGAGTAATGAGAATGTCATGGTCAGTTTGCGATAAAACTGCCTAAAATCAACTGAACAAATATATCTAAACCAAATTATTCTATAAGTGATCCTTGTTCAATAAGAGTAATGAGAATGTTAATGGGCAGTTTGGGATAAAATTTCCTGAAATTAACTGAACAAATATACCTAAACAAAATTATTCGAGAAGTGATCCTATGTAATATTGTTCACCCATTCTCCAGTGGTCGTCTCCGAGCTTGCGTTCGACAGTGAAGTGGGTGATGGGGCACCCGCCAGACTGCCAGAGCCCGAGGTAAAGGGTGACTTGGGTGCCGTTTTGGGTGATGAACTGGAACTGCGGGGGCGCTTCTGGAGGACTGCCTTTTGTGGTCACGTCAATTACGGGTGAAGAGTCGCTGCTGCCTGGAGGCGGTCGACTCGATTAAGCTCATTAATTTATATTAAAATATTTCGAGAAAAAACCTTTTGACATTCGTGTGCATAAATCGATTAGAATAATTATTTATCAGCCATAGTCGTAATTTTGTTACTTCCATTGATAATCGCCAAAAAATATTCGTCGAGCATTGGGCATGTCTCATCGTATTATTTGACACGATTGCAACTCGAAGTGCTTGTTTCTATCATGATGGCATGTTTTGAGCATGATGCCTGCCTCACCAACAGAGTTGTTGACATGATGGCAACACAAAGGGCATGTTTTGAGAATTATGGCGACATAGAGAACATTTTATGAGTATTATGACCGTCTCACCTACAAAGTTGTTGACATGATGGCAACACAAAGGCCATGTTTTGAGAATTACGGCGACATAGAGAACATTTTATGAGTATTATGGCCGCCTCACCTACAGTTATTGACGTGATGACAACACTAAGGCCATGTTTTGAGGGTTATGACAAGTTAAAGAACATTTATGAGTATTATGGCTGTTGAGAATTATGGCAACATAAAACATTTTATGAGTATTAAGGCTGCCTCACCAACAGAGTTGTGGCAGATCATGAAGAGTTTGTAGCGACTGCCACACTCCAGTCCTGCGAGGGTTGCGTGAGAATCCTTCACCGACGTCTCCTTTGTGTCCCCGAGCTCCGTCCTGAGGGACTCATGAATTAATAGACTCACAGGTACCAAGTTATGATATATTAGTGGAAATAAATTATGGATTGATGAATGGCATGATAAATTCAAATCAAATCCGATTTGAGAAATGAAAACAATGTAGCATAATAAGGTGAGACAGCCTTTTATAAATAAATGATTGTGCGTGACTGCACTCACAGGTTAGTCAGGTTAACAATATCCAGGCAGGCAGGTCACCTGTAGTAGAGGGTGGCTGCAGTCACAGGCGAGCCACCGTCGTCTGTGACGTGCCACTGCAGACGAACAGACGACGACGTCGTTTTGGTGACGTGCAACGATGGCGGTGATGGAGGCACTGCACGTTCCGTAAGCCAATTTAGTTTATAAAATTTTTCGCTGCATGTTTCGTACACCAATTTAGTTTATAATTTTTTTGTTAGAGGTGTAATATAAAAATATTATTATTGTTCATCACTAAATATTCATCAGAATGTTTTTCAAGCGATTGAGGATGTAAGAGATTACCTCGCGAATGTAAAGTGCTATATGAACAAAACACTTGATCGTTTTCGTAAAATTAGCGGGAAGATTACGGAATTTTTTTCAAATTGCGTTGATTTAAATGCCGAGAATCATGGTTTTTATGTGGAAGCAGTTTCTACTGAGCCATGTTACTTTTTGCCATATTTCATTTCGTATGTTTATGTAAGAAACCCGCTACGATGAGGCTGTAGTACATATTATTAGAGTTAAATTTAATAATTAAGTTGCACATCAGTTCGAATGAATATGTATAATAACCCGCACATGTATGATACCCATCACGGTGAGGCTGTAATGAATGCTGCCAATGTTAAGATTAATAACTAAGCAGTATTTCACTGGGAATGAATGTGTATGATACCCAGCACGGCGAGGTTGTAGTGAATGCTGCCAGTGTTAAAATCAATAACTAAGTCATATTTCACTTGGAATGAATGTGTATGATACCCAGCACGGTGAGGTTGTAGTGAATTCTGCTTATAATGATAACTTAGTCGTATTTCACTGAGAATAAATGTGTATGGTACCCAGCACGGTTAAGTTGTAGTGAATCCTGCCCATAATAATAATTAAGTCATATTTCACTTGGAATGAATGTGTATGATACCCAGCACGGTGAGGTTGTAGTGAATGTTGTCCGTGTTGAACTGATTGGCGGCGGTACAGCGATATTGGCCACCGCTGCTCCGGTCAACGTTCAGCAAACGCAGAGCATTGTTCTCCGTCACCTGCCATCTGTGAGCCAGGAAACGAGTCGTAACTTGAAGAAATTTCATTTTGAAAATTTAACATTGTCTAAACCTGAAGAAATTTCACATTGAAAATTTCATATTGTCTGAACCTGAAGAAATTTCATGTCTAAAATGTCATACTGTCTGAACCTGGAGAAATTTCATGTTGAAAATTTCATATTGTTTGAACCTGACAGAAATTTCATGTTGAAAACTTATTGCAGATTGTCGTAACTTGATGAATTTTCATAGAAAAGCGAATCAGGCAGCATATAACTATATAATTACGAATATTAGAATGGCGAGAAACGTGGCTTGAGAGTAAATGAAGAGGAAAAGCGGAAAATGAAAAGAAAAAACGGAAAAAACAAACGCGGCTACCTGACTCTGGCCTGTCCATGTCCGCCTTTGCTGTGCAGCAGTTGGTGGTCGTGCGTCCAAGACACGTTCGGTTGAGGCTGTCCGGCCGTGCGACATTCTAGGAGCACGTCTGTGCGCCAGGCTGCGCTCACACTGCCCCCAACCGACCATATGCCGGCACCAACTGTCATATAGGGCAATTCTAAATTTGAACAATTATAATAATAATAATAATAATAGTGGTTTCAGGGTTTATTAGGCCATAGGCCTGTCGCCGATTCTTAACATCACAGAACATCCACAGCTTGTTGCGGTTATACGGAACTTATAACCCCACATACACGGAATTAGACCATGAAAATGATAAACAGATATTTTGATCACGTTACATTCTTGAATCAAATTTTAGGGAACAGTACGAATGTGGGCGATAGAGGGAAGAAAGTAAGGGTAAATATTTTGCAGTACCTTCTTCAGTGAGAGTAAGAGAAGCTATGGGGCTGTCTGGGCTCAGCCCTGCGGCAGACTCTGCTTGGACCCACAACTGTAATATTTACGGTAATCAGTAAAATTAGAACAAATGAAAATTCAAAAGTTATTTTTGATGCTTACAATTGAAAAACAATGAAATTATTGTTTAAGTGTGAATTTGCTTCCAGTGTACTTGAATAAAAGAGTTCATAGTACATACTGAAAAAATTTGCACCGATTCAGGATAATCACTGATTAACCTGATCAAGGATGGATAATCACTGATCAGTCCTTAAAAACGTGAATATTAATAAGATGATAGATCAGAGTTGTGCTAGGATTCCTCGATACCACAATTTTCACTGAATTGAGGCCCCAAGTCATGCTCTAAAAGTAATATATCTACCCGTGAAATGAACATTCGCGTGCCACAAATTCGAAGGCATTGCGGTTGAACTAATGAACTACTATGGAAGCAAGTTCTTCTACAGAAGTTCAGGAGTTCTTAGTAAGTTCTTAGGAGTTCACACACAATATTCTACCTTATTGAGCGTATGGAAATGATACATTTTTTGGCCGATGAATCGTCGATCGGCATGTAAAAGAATGGAAATAAGATTGAACTACTAAATAAGAAGTTATGGACCTTGACGAGCGCATGCGTAGGCAGTTCCCATATTTTGTAGAATCGCGTTTCGTCATCGCCGGTGCGCAGAAGCAAGTTCTTCTATAGAAGTTTAGGAGTTCTGAGTAAGTTTTTAGAGGTTCACACACAATATTTTACCTTGACGAGCGTATGCTGTGGCAGTTCCCGTATTTTGTAGTGGCGCGTCTCGCCATCGCCGGTGCGTAGAAGCAAGTTCTTCTATACAGTTTAGGAGTTCTTAGTAAGTTCTTATGAGTTTCCACACAATATTTTACCTTGACGAGCTTATGCTGAGGCAGTTCCCGTATTTTGTAGTAGCGCGTCCCGTAATCGCCGGTGCGTAGAAGCAACTTCTTCCATAGGAGTTTAGGAGTTCTTAGTAAGTTCTTACGAGTTCACACACAATATTTTACCTTGACGAGCGTATGCGTAGGTAGTTCCCTTATTTTGTAGTATCGCGTCTCGCCATCGCCGGTGCGGTGAGATCCAGTGTCATGCGGGACGCCGTCCACTTGCCAGTTGACGACGTAACTTACGATGCGTCCGCGCGGATGCCGCGGAGTCGTCCAACTTACGACCACGGAGTTACGGTCGTACGCTACGGCGCGGATGCGGTGCGGTGCGTCCGGAACTACGTAAATGTGAAATAAACACGATGAATATGTGAAGAAAATTAGTAATTGATGTTCGATAACATTGCATGATCGACATGAACATTTGGTAGATCGTGTGTCCCTGCGATGCGCAATGAACAACGAAAGGTTCAAAAATTAATGATGACTTGAGATCATCTATGCACTACAATAAAACAATATAGGTCTTAGTTTGCTAGGGGCTTCGTTTTCTAGCTTAGTGTTGCTCCAATTTTGCCATTAGGAACATGAAAGGAAAAACCATCAAACCAGTAATGAAGAAAATATTAAATGATGCTTCGTCATCCCGAATTTTCTTCCTATGCATCTGTGATTATAAACTGCCTAGTTATAAATTCTCAAGTTTTCTCAATTACCATTACTTAAAGTTCACCATAAAAGTATTCTTTACATTGTCATGTGTTCTCAACTATCATTTTTTAAATGTCCACCACGATAATATCCTAAATTAAAAATGTAACTGACTTCCTTCCTTGGTGGTGCACAGAAGCTGAGGAGAAATTGTCAAGTTTTCTCACCTATTATTACTTAAATGTTGACCAATAATTTAGCCTAAATAAAAGTTATAACTGACTTCCTTCCTTGGTGGTGCACAGGAGCGGAGGAGAAATTGTCAAGTGTTTTCACCTATCATTACTTAAATGTTGACCAATAATTTAGCCTAAATTAAAGTTATAACTGACTTCCTTCCTTGGTGGTGCACAGGATCGGAGGAGAAGGGCTGCCGTATCCTGCCTGCGTGGCGGCAGAGACCTGGACGCTGTAGGCGCTCCAGGAGGCCAGACCGTCGATGCTCGCGGTCACGTTCTGGGTCTCGACCACGCCGGATATGTTGGTGCGAGAGGCACCGAGAGACACTCTGCTGCTCCCGTCCTTTATGTGTGAAGATTCTGCAAGGAAATTATATTTGTGAAGATTCTGAAAGGAAATTATAAAATTTAAATGCATGGCTTTTGAGGAATTTTTTAAATGCAAAAAAAAAATGAAGAATTTGTTTAGCCATGGTATCATATTAACACGGTTTCACCTAGCAAAATTATCTCGATCACTTTGCGCATAAGGGTCATTAGCTTGTCTAGTGAGGTTAACTATAGTAAGCAAGTCTATTACTGACGACGAATAATATCGATTACTGTTATTGCATTTGTAGACTAAGAGTTTATTGCTTTTTCCGGTGAAGAAACCTTATAGACTGACATAACCGGTCAATTAAAAAATTTAAGGGGGGCCAAAAATCAGCCAGACCCTTCCTATACGTATTCGAGAAAGTACGTATTATTGTGTATTAATAATATTATATATATTATATTATTATGTATTATATTAATACGCATTAAATACGTATTCGAGCAACTAAGTATTTTCCTCACCTGACTGGACAGCTGGAACGTACGTGACCCTGTAGCCAACGACGATACCGTTCGCGTCGTCCTGAGGGAGAGGTTGCCAGGAGATCTCCAGGGCCGTGGGGGAGACACCAGCACACCGCACCCCTGAAGGGGGGCTGCTGGGTCCTTGAAGAAAAGGGACTACAATGAAGTGACCACAAGTATGTGGTATTGATTTCTAGTGATCTTTATCTGTTCACTATTTGTAATATATATGATTGCAAAAAACATAGTCAAATATGGTGATTTCGATAACTCCTACACAACGTCTAACATAGAACTTTCTCTTCAGTGAAAAAAATTAATTATCGTTTGGTCAATTATTGCTCGGCCAGTTTCAAAAGTCGGCAGAAGTTATTGGACGAATTAAATAAATTATTAAAGTCAATAAGATTCCAGAATGCCGAGTTCAACTCACTGTCCTGCAGTGTGCGTGTGGTGACCGGTTCAGAGGGTGGACCGGCCCCCTGAGCGTTGAAGGCTCTCACCACGACGGAGTAACTAGTGTAGGGCACCAGGCCTGACACTGCACTGTGATGACTAGTGTCACCACCTGATCCCACCGTCGTGAAGTTGTAAGACAACGCATCGTCTTGTGATGAATCTCTGCAACAAATGGAATAATGTATTTTCTATGTAGAAGGATGACATCAAACTAAAGTAAGGTTCAATGTAGCTCAATGGCAGTAAATATTGAGGTCCAATTTAATTGCGGTAAATTGAAAGAAAATTTAAATAGGCTGCAAAAGGGGATGAGTTTAGGTCGGTTTCATCGAAACCCACAAGCACCACTCAACGGACTTAGGCGATGCCTATAGAATGAGTTTGGCTCGGGCTCAGCGAGCACCTCAAGCGCTACTCACTGGACTCGGGCGATGCCTATAGGATGAGTTTGGCTCGGACTCAGCGAGCACCTCAAGCGCCACTCACTGGACTCGGGCGATGCCTATAGGATGAGTTTGGCTCGGACTCAGCGAGCACCTCGAGCGCCACTCACCGGACTCGGGCGATGCCGAGGTAGAAGCCAAGCAGGCGTCCGTGCCGCGACTCCGGCGAAGGCGACTCCCAGCGCACGGCGAGGCTGGTAGACGATGCCGCAGTTACCTGAAATAAAAATATTACATGATAAAAATTGCAACAATTTGCAAACTTAGCTCTTTTATCGACGAAAATGTTCCAGTTTTCTGCGGAAATGCTATTCCCCCCGATTCGGAAAGTCATTCGATTGCTAAGCCAATATAATTTTTTTGTTATCCAATTTCAGTGTAGATTTAGAAAATATTTTGTGATGAGTTGTTTTGTTAGACCGCAAGCGCTCATTTCAACTTGCATAAATTACTTGCCTGAATCTAACAAGGGTATAATGACGTGAAAAAAAAAACAAATATAGAGAGAAATAATTAATTTTTAACCTCATTACAAAATAAAAAGTGTATTGAATTGCGCATATAGTTCTCAAATTTATAATAAGTATAATACATATTGAGAATAATAATAATAACAATAGTATTATATTTCCCATATTGAAATAATAGTAATAATTCCTTTATTTTACAGATTGTTATTCGATAAATAACATGTTCAATTCGAACAAGTATGTAACTGTACTGAACCCACCTGGACGTCGCGCGGAGCACCACTGGGTTTCTCCTCCTCAGTGCGGTGGGTCACTGCCCCACTGAAGTTACCCCGCCCCACCCTGTTGGCGGCGGCCACGGCCACCGTGTACCACGACGCCGGCAGGAGTCCTTCTAGTGTTGTGTGCGTCGTGGTCCCTTGGACGTGCACCTCCGTCGGGGTGGTCGAGGACACTGGGCAATCCAAGACTTCATATTAAGTTGAGGTACTTTAAAGTTTATCATTTATTGTTCAGGGTAAGTAACAAAAAATCAAAATCTAAAGTAAAGTAAAAGTAATTAAATAATTTTTTAGTGGGCGGTAATGCAATTCCGTGGTTTGCAGGTAGTTAAGTTGAGATACTTCAAAGTTAATCATTTCTTTCAGGGGAAGTATTCAGGGTAAGTACCGAAAAATCAAAATCTAGAATAGAGGAAAAGTAATTAAATAATTTTTCAGTGGGCGATAATGCAATTCCGTGGTTTGCAGGTAGAAAACTTCCGAAACAAAACAATGGTAGTCAAGTTCGTCCATGAGAGGGCAACCTAGATGTAAACCTAACGATCGTGCTATCGAACTTCTTTTTAGTACAAAGTGTGGCCAAGGTAGATGTAGTGACCGATTTCTCGTGTGTGATTAGTGGGTTTAGTTTGAAAAACCTTCGGTTATTGACTGGTAAAGTCAAAAACATTTAACTTTATTGATAGTAATTTATTGATAATAATTTATCAATAATTATAATTTATTAATAATTAGATAATTTAAATTTATTGATAGGGCCCAGACACTTACCCTCCTGCTGGAGGCTGTGGCGCACGATGTAGGAGGTGATATTGCCAGCGGTCTCTGTAGGCGGACGCCACCGCAACATCAGGTGCCGAGACCCAGACTCTTCTACGCGCAATGCCTGCACCTCGCCGGGGACGTCTGCGAGAAAAATAAACTATGTGAGAAAATTCGTTTTTGCGTGTAAATAAAAAGGAAACTACGTGAGAAAATTGTTTTTTGCGTGTAAACAAAAAGGAAACTACGTGAGAAAATTGGTTTTTACGTGTAAATAAAAAGGAAACTACGTGAGAAAATTTGTTTTTACGTGTAAATAAAAAGGAAACTACGTGAGAAAATTTGTTTTTACGTGTAACTAAAAAGGAAACTACGTGAGAAAATTGTTTTTTTACGTGTAAATAAAAAGGAAACTACGTGATAAAATTCGTTTATGTTGGTAAATAAAAAGGAAACTACGAGAGAAAATTGGTTTTTACGTGTAAATAAAAAAGAAACTACGTGAGAAAATTCGTTTTTGCGTGTAAATAAAAAGGAAACTACGTGAGAAAATTCGTTTTTGCGTGTAAATAAAAAGGAAACTACGTGAGAAAATTCGTTTTTGGGTGTAAATAAAAAGGAAACTACGTGAGAAAATTCGTTTTTACGTGTAAATAAAAAGGAAACTACGTGAGAAAATTGTTTTTTACGTGTAAATAAAAAGAAACTACGCGAGAAAATTGGTTTTTACGTGTAAATAATTAGTTAAACAAGAGAGAATTTCAGGGAATCGAGATAGTTTCATTGTGTGCCGAGATCGCAATTATTTTTATTTGAAAAACTATTGGAAAACTGAACAGCATAATTATTGCTCTATGAAATCATTTCATATGATCCTAAAATTAATTCAACTGTCCGCGAACAAAAAAGAGAAATTCAAAGTCCGCGAAGAAAAAAATGCCAAAAAAAGCCTATAACTAAATAAATACTAGTATATTTGTAAGTTTCTGTGTAAAAATTCAATTTTTTTACAGTTTTTACAATTTATTTAGGAAGTACCAATATCATAAATTTCAGCCGGCCAGCGCAATTGAAAAAAAATATAACTCAGTACTCACTGCAGTGAGTGACAGAAAGCGCATTTTCTCGTCGACGAAAACATGAAGTCACGGACGGACAGACGGACGGACATGGCGAGCACAATAGTGCATTTTTCTATAAATGAGAAAATGTGCTAAAAAACAAATCGCGGAATTTTTCCGAAAAAATACCGTCTGGCAACCCTGATTTATAATCGAGCTCGAACCTTCGACCAAGAGTTTGAAGACGGCTGTCCGTGAGCCGTGCGGGTTCGAAGCCTCGCAGCGATACGATCCCGAGTCCTGGAGGCCAACCTTCTCTATGGTGAGACGGGCGGCGCTGCCACCGTCTTTGACGTCCGTGGTGTGCTCAACGATAAACCTGCAGTATAAACTTTCATTTACAAACAAATACAGAAAAGTATTCATTTTTACAGTATTCATTTACAAAGGAATGCATTGTGATCAGGTCGTATTTTTCATTTCAATTCAATTTGATTGAATGAAATATTTATAATGAACGAAGTAAGCTCGAAGTAATGAACGTATTTCCCTTTTCGACCTGGAAAGTGAGGCGAGTTCTCGCTGGTCTCGACTCCAGCGCAGGCTGAGGGGCGGGTCTCCGAACGCCTTACACTTGAGGGTTGCCGCCGCCCCAACCCGTACCTCGACCGTGGGCGACTCGGAACTCAACCGGGGAGGTTCTATGGAGCATAAGGAGGGTGTATGATTTTGTTGAGAATTGGTGTAGTTCGGCAGAAGTTTCTCTTTTATGCAAGTTTGATTGAAGACCAGAGCATGCTTTTTATTAATAATCTTCTTGTTCGTCTTTTCAAAGAGTAGAACCAAATTTTTTGCTGGCGCCGGGAGATAAAAAAGACATTGGAATAGATTGCGACATTTCGAAAATACAGTTTTCTATATCAAGCAGGTGAAAATTTTGTTGAGAAGCATAAATACCGCCATAGTGTTGAATAAGGTAGATGATATATACTGAACAAATGTGAATATTAATAACAATTAAGTTGGTTTTAATCTGAATCGCGAACGTCTACGTCACAGAATTTAACTTGGAAGTTATTTGAGACATATATTTATGTATTAAGATGTTGAAAAAATTTATTAGTATAATTGAGAGAATATAACTTATAAACAATAATTCACTTAAAATAAATTTTTAAGCAAATAGGTTGATGCTGCGATTAATTAATTTTTGACATTACACACGGTAGGGACCTCGGCATCAGGGACAGCGTATTCATAAACATTTAATACAAAATTTTCATGAAATTCCATAAATTGAAATAATTATCGTCGTAAAATTAATTATCCGGAAAACAAGAACAACCAATACACAAGTGTCATAGGGAAAGTGTAATGGGCGCGCATATTGTAACGCTTTCACTGTAATTAGTTTCGAAATTTGTCACGTAGAGTATACAATTACGAGTACATAGAGTACATAGAGTACATACATTTACGAGTTAAATCGCTTCTTTGATGTACCAATGGTTACAGTAGTTACTAGAACTTTGAGGTCGCCGACTTATTCCCTTTTTGTGATTTGATCTTGGGAATAATTAACGGGCAGAAAAATAAAAGTATACAAAAATAAAATAAACACTTACTACGGAAAATAGCAAAAATCTCACCCTGAACCAAGACGGATATGATTTTGGAGAGACCTGCACCGACACCGTTGGTAGCCTGACACAGATACCTCCCTTCGTGTGTCTTCTTGATGGCGCTGAAGAACAAAGAATTCTCGGCATCTGTTCCCATGATCGCAGACAAGCTTCTTGTGTCTGCCGAGTTCTCCATTTCTCTCGGAAGAAAATCTCGCTTAGAAAAGGATTTTTTAGATGTATCCATTTTTTTATTGATGTGGTGTAACGTCGAGAAGGAGTTTGCCGTTGACTGGGTGAGGAAATAACGTCTTCGTGAAAAATTGTCGTGGAATTTGGATGTTTGCCAATTTTCGTTTTGAAAGCGAGGAGCCCAGATCGTCTCTGGATCACTGAAGCTGCGCGCGCTCGAGTTAATGGCGTGAACCGGAGCCCATTTTCCCTTTGCTGTGAACGAGAAATTTAGTTCAATTTATTAACTGAAACTAATTTAATTTAGTGTGTTTTGTACAGCGCGATCACCTCAGGAAAGAAACGCATGTGAAAGAAAGAGTGGGGTCAAAGAAATTTTTTTTTATACGACTTTGGTATGAATTTTGCTGAAGAGAGCAAAGGAATCCATAATTCATTTAAATCCAACTTACGTTTAAACCTACGGTCCAGGAAGACTTAAGCCTTCATTGCTATTGGGCTAATGTTTTTGAAGAGGATTGGCAAAAAGTTTTCTGAATTTGCCGCCTGGTAAGCGGGTTCAGATTGTTATTCTTTCCTCAATATTCATAATATAAATAAATAAATTACATTTATTTTTTAACCCACCCGTCTCTTTCCTCCACGCCATGACAGGGGGCGGGGACCCCTGGGCCGAGCACGGCACTCTCACGGCGCTGTCGTGTGTAGCGCTCACGTCGTGAGGCTCGTCCTGCCACTGTGGCGGCACTGTCGTGGCACACGAACATTGCTGTTTATATTACTGCTCCAGCACTAATATATAATTAAACTTATTACATATACTTATATTACTGCTTCGACACTAATATATACTTATACTTATTACTTATACTCATATTACTGCTCCAATACTAATATATACTTGTATTTATTACTTATACTTATATTACTGCTTCGAACTAAATATCTAAACACCAGTATATTGCTTCGACACTAATATATACTTATACTTATTACTTATACTTATATTACTGCTTCGGCGCTAAATATATAAACACCAATAAACCTGATGAGTGAAACGTTCCTCACTGATGAGGGGAGTTTTCGTTGACGACAGTCAGAGCCAGTAATTTTTATGCGAGGTTTAACATATTTTGACCGTGAAATGAATTTAGGAACTAGGTTAATAGGGAATTGTATTAATTATGACACTACTTCACTTTACCGTGCACCACTCCACCTCACCGTGCACCACTCCACCTCACCGTGCACCACGCCACCTCACCGTGCACCACTCCACCTCACCGTGCACCACACCACCTCACCGTGCATCACGCCACCTCACCGTGCATCACTCCACCTCACCGTGCACCACGCCACCTCACCGTGTACCACTCCACCTCACCGTGCACCACTCCACCTCACCGTGCACCACTCCACCTCACCGTGCACCACNTGGAATGAATTCTGCAGCGCAAATGTTTTCAGCATAATACAAAACAATTTAATTATCTAAGTTGGGCACAGTGCAAACGCCATTATTTCGCCGGTCTTAATGCCAAGAACCCGTTGCCCTCGGAAGAAAGAAGAGTCCCTCAGGACTCTCATGTACGAACATCACTCGTCCGCAGTCCAGCTAAGCCCTCTGCCACGGCGCCTGGTGAATGGGCGGAAACAGAGCAAGTTTCCGCCCATAGCACGGGTCCCCACCTGAGCACGGGTCCCCACCTGAGCACGGGTCCCCACCATAGCACGGGTCCCCACCTGAGCACGGGTCCCTACCATAGCAAGATGTGTATAAGAGACTGACCTGCCACTGTCAGCCTGAGATGCTGAGTCACGCTGCTGCCTCGTCAACTGACCTGCCACTGTCAGCCTGAGATGCTGAGTCACGCTGCTGCCGCGTCAACTGACCTGCCACTGTCAGCCTGAGATGCTGAGTCACGCTGCTGCCGTGTCAACTGACCTGCCACTGTCAGCCTGAGATGCTGAGTCACGCTGCTGCCGTGTCGGCCAACTGCCGTGCAGCTGTAACGGCCTTCATCAGCTGTACGTGTCAGCGACATCAGCGATAAGCTGCCGTTGCTGTGCACCTGCTGCCGGTGACTTGATGGCAGTTCGATATCGTCTGAAAAAAAATTCGTATTATGTAACAAACAGTTACGGATCAAGTTTTGTTTGACTTCACTCGTTGAGAATAATTTTTTGTGTTGAAAATTTTTTACACGTCCTCTGACGAAAAGCTGTTCGGGTTTACTTAAAAATGTCAATTAAGAAAGATGCATATTTTTACCGATGATGGTTTCTATAGAAAGTAGTCAACGAAATAAATGATCTTGAACGAAAAGATGTCCGAGTTTGCTTTTAAAGTTAAATTCAAAAGATGCATATTTTTACCGAGGATATTTTTTATAGAAAGTAGTCAACGAAATAAAAAATCTTGCTTGCCATTTTACCTCTACTTTAGGTGAAACTTTTTACTTTAGGTAGAGTTGAAGTAGAGTTTTTTACTTCAGGTAAAACTCTAATTTTTATTGCCTCTTTACCAGAGTTGGGCAGCGCTACTTTGAAATGTAGCGGCCGCTACCGCTACATGCTCTAAATGTAGCGGGCGCTACCGCTACATGCTCTAAATGTAGCGGGTGCTACCGCTACCGCTACAATTGCTAAATGTAGCGCCGCTACCGCTACCGCTACTGAAAATGTAGCGGCCTCTACATGTAGCGCGCTACTGCCCACCTCTTTACCTCTACTATATTACTACCTTTCATCCAGGTAATTTCTTCTATAGGATGCCCCGCTACGGGACACGTGATGACGACCGTCTCTCCAGCGACTGCCGTGACGTCGCTCATTGGACGTATCATGGGAGGGCCGTAGACGTTGAGACGCGCGGAGTGTGTTACGTCGCCGACGTTGTTGACGGCCGTGCAACGGTACGTTCCACCGTCTGCTACGTCCACCGAGCTGATGTTAACGTGACTGATGACGTCCCCATGAGGCGCGACGTACTCACCGACCTGAACCCTGTACCAGAGTGTTGATCAGCATTAAAATGATATTTTTAGTTTTAGTAATTATGTGTGTGATGCGTAGGCTTGAATGTCACAACATCCTACCTGTGCGTGTGGTGCAGAGGGTAGCCGTCGAGGTGCCACACGATGTGAGGGGTCGGGGCACCACAGGGGCATGTCACCACATCCTACCTGTGCGTGTGGTGCAGAGGGTAGCCGTCGAGGTGCCACACGATGTGAGGGGCACCACAGGGGCATGTCACCACATCCTACCTGTGCGTGTGGTGCAGAGGGTAGCCGTCGAGGTGCCACACGATGTGAGGGGTCGGGGCACCATAGGGGCATGCCACCACATCCTACCTGTGCGTGTGATACAGAGGGTAGCCATCGAGGTGCCACACGATGTGTTGGCTTGGGGCACCACAGCAGGGGCATGTCACCACATCCTACCTGTGCGTGTAGTGCAGAGGATAGCCATCGAGATGCCACACGATGTGAGGGGTCGGGGCACCACAGGGGCATGTCACCACATCCTACCTGTGCGTGTGGTGCAGAGGGTAGCCGTCGAGGTGCCACACGATGTGAGGGGTCGGGGCACCGGCTGCTATACACTTCAGAGACACGCCTGGTCCAGGCTGCAGAGTGTGCGCGATAAAGCGGTACAGCAATCGCGGAGCAGACTCTGTGAAACATCAAATTACTGTAATGTTTTTAAACTAATCATTGCATTAAAATTTAATTAGTTCTACGCTCTGCCTATGCTTATTGGAATGATACATGACGTGCGACATGATCTCAGGTTATTAGCCTATTAACCAAAAATTAAGAAATCGTATACGATCTTTACGAAGATTTATTATCAATTTATACTAGAACTACATGTACATGCGAGATGAAAGCTCAGTTATTATAAATGCAACTCAATCTAAGTCCATATTATTTTAAAATTAGGAAATTTCAATTGCTCTTTACCAATATTTCTTATAAATTTATTCTAGAAATAAATATCAATGCGAGCACAAAGCTCAGTTATTAGACGTACAACGCAATCTAAGCCCATATTATTTTAAAATTAGGAAATCTCAATTTGATCTTTACATATACTTTATTATAAATTTATACTAGAAATAAATATCAATGCGAGCACAAAGCTCAATTATTAGACGTACAAGGCAATAGAAGTCCATAGTATTTAGTCCATATTATTTTTTATTTAATTAGTAAATCTCATTTGCTCTTTACTATAATTTATTTATATTATATCTATAATTTACTATAAATTTATTCTAGAAATAAATGTCAATGCGAGACCAAATCTCAGTTATTAGACGTACAAAGCAATCGAAGTCAATCTTATTTTAAAATTAGGAAATCTCTATTGATCTTAACGAAGATTTATTTGAAACGGCCGCGAGTAATTAGTAATTTATTATTAAAAATTAGTAATTATATTAGTAAAAATTAGTAATTATCAATTGATATTTATGGAAAATTATTTGAAATTTACACTATACCGGAATTTTACCGGGTACATTCGACTACCGAGCTAACCTCCGAGCACAACAGTGGCATGAGCGTGGGCGACGGAATGCAGGGCCGAGGCGCGGCACTGATACTGCCCCGAATCTGCGCTGTGCAGCGGGGCTATCAGCAGACGCCGGTCCGGCAAGATGTCAACGCGACCTCCGGGCCTGGACACAAAATGCATGCTCAATGAAATAAGTGAAATTATGTCATATTAGCGAGGTGCTATTTGGCCGTTGTGTGGGTCAGTATATAAAAGAGCGTATTATTTGTAGAAAAATACGTACTCAAAGAAATGAGTGAAATATTGTCCAAATGGTGAGACGATATTTGGCCGTTGTTTGGGTCCGTTGGGTCAGTTTGAGTCTACAAAAAGAGCGCATTATTGGTAGAATCAGAAAGAGTGTCACAATTTGAATAACGTGGCCCATTCATTTTCTGCGTGCTGCGGGTGACGAATTTGTTTTTCATTGCATTTCCAATTACAAATTTGCAACCCTAGGTATCAGAAATACACTGTAATGCATGAGGAGTTTAGTATATTATACAATTGGCATAGTATCGTTCTGCCAAAAATAAGCCTTTAACTTAAGGCCACGTTAACTCTTTTTATATGTCATCTCTCTTTCCTTTCATTAGTCACCAAATATGGTGGTATCGTCAGTAGAATTAAAGATGAAACCTTACCAGCGGGAGGTAGTGAAGGGTGATCGCCGGTATAAGCCTTGATTTTGTTTTTAAAAAAGAATTCATGAGTAATTTTCCGGGCGATGTGTGGACACGGATTTGCACAATTTGTGTAAGTCACGGGACATTAAGCTATTTTAACGTTTATGTCATTACGTTAAAAAAATCGCAAATTAACCCGGAATACTACATAGCAAAATAAATTTCAAATAATTTCACCATAATTCCAATTAATGCAAACTTCGTGCTGAAAATAAATACATGAATTTAGTACGGTTATACCTCGTTTACCGCAATATACCGAAATTTCTACATGATTTCCGCAAGTTTTTACAACGAAATCGTTGCAGAAATTTCACACAGAAACTGCGAGCTCATTAATATCTCGAATACCCGAGCATTTTTATTCTCATAATAAATCATGGTTCTTAATGAGCTTATTAATTGCAGCTTAGTTCAGTCGAGTATATATAGTCTGCATGCATGCCTTCAGTGGCAGACAGAAGTGCAGTAAAATGTTCTTAGCAGTATATTTTATAAACAGAAAACCTGTAGAAATAATTTTTTTATTAAATATTCCCACCTTGGGGATGAACTAAAGAGTACATTGAAGACATGTCCATTCTTCTTATAGATTTTCTTTAATCATCGCAGAAAGCACGAGTGGAAATTAACTGAAAGATAATTCATTAACTCACTAAAAATATTGGAAAAAAAAATTTGACCAATTCGTGATGTGCTGATTGGACCAATTCGTAATTTGCTGCTGAATTTTTTAATAATCACTTGCCGCTAAATGAATATAATATGCTGCTGAATAATCATCAACAATTTGCTGATTGATCTTCGGTAAGAATAATCACGGCAGCTTCGCATCTTCAAGGATATTTTTGTCCCTAACCCGAAGACGATTGAAACCATAAAAAAAAATCCAGACCGCTCCCCAAGGCTCACTAGTAAAATGCATCTCTCGTTGATGATAACTGTAGTCTTAGTAGGATTGCGCTCAGAAGTTTACATGCAAATTATTTCCGGCACTAACTAGGAGGAAACCTTGCAAAAGTTAATTAAATATGGCCAGCTTATATAATGACATATTATAAAGTTCGGCAAGTAATGTAACAATCGTACAACTGTTATATTGAGAAATGCACCCATGTTGCCAAAATTATGAATAATATTGGTCATTTAGTGCAATGAAGTGCACAAATGTGCAGATATAAGGGAATTTTGGGCGTAGTGATGCCAGAGAACATTTTCAAAAAGATCAATCATTTGATTGATTTCAACAGCGTAGCAGTGAAAGAAAGTTTATGAATTCACGGGTCTATCATTTGAATAAATTATTCGTAATAAATGTAATAAAATTGTTCTCAAATGAAAATAAATGTATAAATAAATTGTCTATAAAATTATTCAAAATACTAGTTTGAAGAATCAACTGATCAAATGAGCATGAAACTTAAAAAATCAAAATATACACTTCGAACATTAAAAATTTGAAAAAATATCGTGTAATATAATCGTTGTAATAAATGGGCCTATATAGAGCTTGAAATTGCCAAATTAGGCATGAGCTTCCGAACAGGAGTTTGGAACCGAAAATTAAGGATAAGATAAGTTTAGGCAGAAACAGGCCAGCTAAGGATATATTATATTACAACAGTTTACTTGGGATCTTATCGCAGAAACGACGCTTGTATGTAGATAACTCTTGTTGACCAGTGACATCCGGTCATTGCAAGCACTGTTCACTGTGTCTCAAAAGTAGTACACTCAGTTGCAAATATATCTATCTACTAAAAATTTTCTTCATACTGATCATGAATCGTGAATTAACCAAAACTTTAGTGGTTAACATCAATTGATATACGAGATAACTTTCATTTGGTATTCATTAATAATTTCATTTCAAAATTTTCATTTGGTCAAGTAGAAGCGACTCTCAGTGAAAACGCTGTACTGTTGAAATGAATTCTGCAGCGCAAATGTGTTCAGCATAATAGAAAACAATTTAATTATCTAAGTTGGGCACAGAGCAAACGCCATTATTTCGCCGGTCATAATGCCAAGAAGATGCTACCTTCGGAAGAAAGAAGAGTCCCTCAGGACTCTCTTGTACGAACATCACTCGTCCGCAGTCCAGCTAAGCCCTCTGCCACGGCGCCTGGTGAATTGCTACTACTGCTTCTTCATTGTCTTGAGTTGAGAAATTAATTTATAAAAAATATTATTATTCTTGCTTGTAAAATTTTACGATAGTTTGAATTTCGCTGTCTTTGTATTCATATGCGGTACGATTGAGAAATTGCCAGTATAGCGCGTTAAGTGAAGAATTTTTAGCGCATTTTCTCATTTATGGAAAAAATGCACTATTGTGCTCGCCATGTCCGTCCGTCTGTCCGTCTGTTTGTCCGTCCGTGATTTCATGTTTTCGTCGACGAGACGAATGCGCTCTCTGTCACTCACTGCAGTAAGTACTGAGTTATATTTTTTAGATGTTTCTTCTACGTCAAAAAAAGTCATAAACTAATTTTAATTCAAATTATCAAACAAAACAAAATTTAACCTAGTGTATTTTTAACAATGATTGTAAATCTTAATTTTTGTCCCGCTATCTCAAGCAAGGGAATAATTTATAAGCTTTTAGTTTCCTGCGGAGCAAATGTTTGTCTCAACGGAGCAAGTTTCCGTCCCATAGCACATGTCCCTACCTGAGCACGGGTCCCCACCATAGCACGGGTCCCCACCTGAGCACGGGTAACGTGTCCCTTCCTGAGCACGGGTCCCCACCTGAGCACGGGTCCCCACCTGAGCACGGGTCCCTACCATAGCACGGGTCCCCACCTGAGCACGGGTCCCCACTTGAGCACGGGTCCCCACCATAGCACGGGTCCCCACCTGAGCACGGGTCCCCACCATAGCACGGGTCCCTACCATAGCACGTGTCCTCACCATAGCACGGGTCCCCACCTGAGCACGGGTCCCCACCATAGCACAGGTCCCCACCTGAGCACGGGTCCCCACCTGAGCACGGGTCCCTACCATAGCACGGGTCCCTATCATAGCACGGGTCCCCACCATAGCACGGGTCGCCACCTGAGCACGGGTCCCCACCTGAGCACGGGTCCCTACCATAGCACGGGTCCCTACCATAGCACGGGTCCCCACCATAGCACGGGTCCCTACCATAGCACGGGTCCCCACCATTGCACGGGTCCCTACCTGAGCAGCTGCCCGTCCCTATACCAGGCGAGGGAGTAGACGGGACCGCCCGTCACGAGGCACTGCAGCTCCAGCGCGTCCCCGGGTCTCACTGCCGTCATCTGAGGGCGAACCTGAGGGCACAATACGAGGGGAAATATTTTACCTTCAATCATCAACATTATTTTACCTTCACTAAATATTTATTATTATTTTACCTTTATTACGGAGACGGAGTAGAGGGGATATAGTTATTTAGAATTTCAACAGATTTTCTGCCTAGGGGTGGTCAAGGCTAATAATTTTAATAGCTTAAGTGTCGGGTAGGTCAAAGTGGGCCTCAAAATTTCAATAGACATTTTTTGAGGTAGGAGGAAGGTAGGAAGGCCTTGATCGAATCATTCCATTTGCCTTTTTTGAGCGGGAGGAGAGCGGAGGCTGTTTCATAATTTCAACAGCTAATTTGACCAGCGGGACTTAGTGACAGAAATTATTTTTGATGACTATTTAATTTTTAACAATTATCCGACGCACTCACAGGATTGACAATCGTCAAAATTTGACATTCGTGCTATTCAGAGTTGAGGCGGGATTGCAATTCATTATTCTTGGCTTTAGATATTCACGCAATTCATTTTCTAGGGTGCCTGAGTCAACACGATATTGAGCCAATGTCATGTCGTTTTGAATAAAATAATAAAAATCGAACATTAGTTAAGGTATCGTGAAGAAAATAGATATTATGTACACAAATCACAATGTTGTTCCCGTTGCGCCAATAACGGAATACAAGTGACAACACAGGGGGACCACATTGGGAGTGGTCACCAAAAGTCTGTGGGAGACAAAACTGGGTGACAACAACGCAGTGATGATGTGGTCAGAACATCACTTGCAGTGGTGTGCTGACCACGAGTGTGATGTTAGTAGTACTGCTAGGCTCACCATCTCCCTTTATCCACATTGAATAATTCCGGTAATTCTTCTGACGTGGTGACCTCTATTGTGTCGCTAGTGGTTCTCACTGACTCACCATCTTCCAATATCAATGGTAAATTTCGGGTTCTCGTGGTTCTAGTAGTTACTATTGGCTCATAATCTTCCTATATACATTGTGAAGTACCTGTACATGCAGTGGTGTGGTGACCACGAGAGTGGTGCTGGTGGTGCCACTGCCGTGAGTGTTGGATGCAGTACAGGAGTAATGGCCGGCCTCATCACTCCCGACTGATGACATCACCAGTGAGCCTCCCACAAGGTGGACGCGGTTGCCCAGCTCATCGAAGTGCAGCGGTGCACCGTTTTTACGCCAGCTGATCACGAAAATAATATGCGTTTAAAAATTACTTTTTACGTTTTTTTTTTAAATTACCTTTTATAGACAACACTTCTAAAGATTCAAATGTCTCCGATGTTATACTTGTAAAAGTGAATTTCTAATTTTATTATCAAATATCAAAAAAAATAAATTTTAAATTATATTTTTAAAATATAAAAATAAATTTTTCATAAATTATTTATTCTGTCTATTGATACATGCATTGTCTCCGACTTTACACAAGTGTGCAAAATTTCAGATCTATTGGACAGGTAGAAGTGTGTTAAATATTTATTATAAGATTTGTAGCAGACAGACAAACAAGAAGTGAAGTTAAAGAGAAGTGTTATAATTATAATTAATGCCAAAATATAATGAAACGCTTGGAAATATTTGTAAATTAGTGCTGTGAATATTCGCGTTCAAATCCAAGCGTACGGAAACTCACGTTCTTAAATATTCAATTATGAATAAACGCAAGAAAAGCTTCAACCAAGCAAAATGATAAGAATATCATAAATTAATGTGATAAACGTGGCAAATACCAAACAAAAGCTTCAAGTTACAGAAAAAAAATAATAAATAAAAAAGAAACAACAACAGAATTTACAGAATTAACAAGGAACACAATGCAAATTACAAAATAAAAATTTTAACATACCACAAAATTACTATCAATCGACAGCGAAAATACATTAAAGTAATCTGAACATTAAAATACATTAAATTATTAGCATTAAAATACATTAAAACATTAGCATTAAAATACATTCAAACATTACCATTAAAATACATTAAAACATTAGGATTGAAATACATTAAAACATTAGCACTGAAATACATTAAAATACTCTAACACAGTAGACTCAGTAGAGCAATAATTGAGACTGACACATAAGTGAGGGGCGGCCGACCCTCGGCCAGGCAGAGCAGGGCGCCGCTGCTGCCCTCGGCCACCGCTGTCTGCGGCGGCGAAGGCAGCACGCGGACTCCTTCGTCGGTGCCGCCGTCTGTGAAGAAGAAGAAAGGTCGATATAATTTTATATTATTTATAATTCATTAGCTTACATATTGCTGCGGAGAGGAGAGATTTATGGCAACTGAGAGGTCTCACAATTGGGACAATTATTTATTGATGAGTTACGATTTTATGTCTTGAATGTAAATTGGTTTGAATTGAGACAACTTTACTTCATTAGAATAATTTAGAGTTCTGTTATATTGCAAGCTAAATGCGCATTTAGCATTTGAGTAGCATTTAGAATTTTGTTAAAGCTTTCGACTTTTTTCGTAATTCTAGTAAAATACAGAGGTTTATAGATTTATGATGTAAAAAAGTGAATGATGAAAGCCTTTAATAGTTCTTAAATGTCATTTGTAATAATTACATGATAATGGTTGGAAAATATAGCAAAATGTGAATTTCTCTTGAATAAATGATAGCAAATCCAGTTGTACATTGAGCGCAGTTTAAAGGTACATTAATAAATAACTTAATTATAGCTTCAATTGACAATTATAGTGCTAGTGCTAATATCTTTATTAATGCTAGATCAAGCAGAGTGTGTGCTGGATGACAGAATGCGGCACAGTCAGAGCGAGTTTGTTTACATCGAACGGCGCCTAACTTATTGCGATGAACCTTACAAAACATTCGTCGAGGCGCGCAGTGGTTACCTAAAACGTAGGTTATACCGGCTACGTATTTAATAAATCGAAATTTATAGCCCGTGTTGTTCCCAAGACCAATTGCCGTGCGAGCTCAAACAAACTGCAGCTTCGCCGGTGTGAGTCTGGTCGTTTCGAGCGTCAACGACCGTGAGAAATTTCGAGTCGTTGACCATTTCTATGCAGTGTTTGATTTTGACCCTCATGCACTCAAATTGCCGTGATTTATTCCTGTAGTGCCTTTGTTCAAACTCGTTCAGTGCGCGCCTCTGGCAACTACGTTGCCTAATCAAAAGATAAATTTGATGCCCTGGAAGTACTAATGATTTTCGAACGAAGAAACTAAGTAAGATCGATGACGAAGAATTAATAAAACTTGTACCGTACAATGACTGAGAAAAAATCAGTAGTGTTAATTATGATAAACACAATACAACGTACAAAGTAAAAGCTTCAACCAAACAAAACAATAAAAATATCGAAAATTATTGAGATAAACACGGCAAATACCAAAATAAACCGCACACCTCTCAGTGTGCGGTTAGTCATAATATTTCTAGTCGATAGTCATGAAATGTAATTATTTAATTATAGGTACATAAAAATCGTATAGGTACATAAATCATTATAGGTACATAAAAAAAACTTATTTTGCTCTCGAATGGAACATAATGAATTTAAGTTCTGCTTTGGGATATTTACGGAAATAAATTTTTACGGTGATAGAACCACTGCCTGAAATGCCCAAAAAATTATCACTTGGAATTATTTATTTTAATCCAACTATCAAAATTAAAATAATGATTAGTTCTCATAATTTAATGTGGTCTCGGCGACTCTGCGACGTCGGCAAATCCAGATATAGAATTCAATTCAGACTACCATCTACTGACCGCACAATTCATAATCTTCAGTTGAAGAAACAAATCTTCAGGGATTCAGAGTCTCGAAGCGAATGCAAGAAGCTAACTTCGAATGCAGAAGCTTTTGATCGTCTGATCAGAATTACGGATTACTTCTCCCCCCGAAAAGCAATCCTAGATCCATGGGGATCTCGCGACATGGGTTTTAATGCTCCACAGAATTTCATGATTGCTTCGAAATTCTTGCGGTGCGTCGGAGCAGAGCTGCAATATTCTTGTTGGGGACACTCCTATATACTGAGGGAACTGCCTCAGGATCCCAATCCTATAAACGCGTCGGGGGGAAGGAATGTTTTCCCACCCGTGGGAGAGCAACGTGAGTAGAGGAAAGATAATTTTTGGCTGATTCGCAAGTTTTTCAAATGTTGAATATTTTTTTGTGATTTTATTGACGAGAAAAAAGTCTAAAACAACGAGTATTCTCAGTAGGAATTGCTATCTTCCTAATTCACAGGTTCCAGTTCAGGGGTCAGCGGGACAAACGGCTGCAGTGAGCTTAACAGGATTTAAGTAAGATTGAGGAAACATGAAGGAATTTTTGTTCAAATCCTGTCCTACCTCAATGTTTGTTGAGTTTCGTCCACTTGGTTCTTGTTTCATATATTAATTATAGGGGATGTGGAATAAGTTAAACGTTTTAATTTCAACAATGCAACGATATTCAGTGTGTGCCTCTAAGATATACATGACATTCCCGATCCTATGGAATTAAACCATTTCCTGCTAATTAATAACTCTTCTGATAAGGCATCTGCAATCACAGCTGCGAAAAGAACGTGAAAAATGAGAAGGTATAAAGTTAGTCAAGTATTAATTTCCATGCAAGCGCGATGAATTAAATTGGACATATGAAAGGGAAATCCGCGGGCTGGTTTTTAAACGTCACTCCACCGTGGCCAAATAATAGGATACCAAGATATAGGATAACAAGATTAGTCCTCGATCAGTGCTTTTAGTGACCAGGGATGTTAACCAGGAATGTTTAAATGAGTCAGGCTAATGCGGTACGAAGCTGTGCGCTAAAAATACTGGTACGTGTCGTATGAATGTTGTATACAAAAATGAACAATTGATATTCATGCAATGTCAGAGTAGACCAGCTGTGAAAGCTGTAAACTGAACTTCATCTTATTCATCATGTGAAGCTCGATCCGAACTTATAAGGAAATATTTTCCCCTCTAAATTTTACAACTAATTTAATATCTTTATATCATTATCAAGGGCTTGATTTTCCCCGCAGTCGCAGTAATGAAGGCATAAATAGATGTCAGCGCTTGCTATATTGTTCACATAGATTATATATAAGGATTTATTAGCGAATTATGATAAAACAAATGTTTAAATACCAGTTAGCGAAAAACACTCTCTCTGTTATTCAGAATACATATTACATACAAATGCTGAAATGAGAATTCGTAGTACATATATTTTTAAAATTAAGTTTCGTAAGTTTGAGCACAAAAATCATGTAAGTTAATGCAACTTTCTTTTTCAAAAGTGTAAATAAAATCTTATTTATTCTTTGTAATACATTCGCGACGTAGGAGAATAGTGAAACACTTAGTTCGAATCAGCAAGAATGAACAGCTTGTGAAGGTTAGGTTGCCTTCAAGTCATGCTTGCAAATTTCTCGAGTCAAGCGTCGCTTGACTTGATGCAAGAGTGGCAATCTCGACGGGCCCGGCAATCGCACAATCTCGTGCTTGCTTGTCACTTCCAAGCCAGCGAGCAGAAATTCTGAAACTCCAAGCGAGTGGAATGAACGCCCAGCGACAGACATGTTACCTCGGGGCTGAGGCGGGGACCACGGCGGCAATGTTTAGAAAACAGTTAAGTTGAGCGACAGACATAAATTACCCGCTGAGGCGGCAATGTTTAGAAATAGTTAAGTTGAGCGACAGACATGAATTACCCGCTGAGACGGCAATGTTTAGAAAATAGTTAAGTTGAGCGACAGACATGAATTACCCGCCGAGGCGGCAATGTTGAGAAAATAGTTAAGTTGAGCGACAGACATGAATTACCCGCTGAGGCGGCAATGTTTAGAAAATAGTTAAGTTGAGCGACAGACATGAATTACCCGCTGAGGCGGCAATGTTTAGAAAATAGTTAAGTTGAGCAACAGACATGAATTACCCGCTGAGGCGGTAATGTTTAGAAAATAGTAAAGTTGAGCGACAGACATGAATTACCCGCTCAGGCGGCAATGTTTAGAAAATAGTTAAGTTGAGCGACAGACATGAATTACCCGCTGAGGCGGCAATGTTTAGAAAATAGTTAAGTTGACATCGTAGATGCAGAGGTGGTAGAGTCACGGTTTGTAACGAATGCTATGAAAAGTTGACATCCTTGATGTACAGTCAGGCGAACCACGGGTTAAAATCGAAGTTAACGTCTTAAATGCAGAGGTAGTCCAGACTGATTCAAAATTAAATTTAATATAGGTAAGAATTTTTGATGCCGAGGTTGTAGAGAATAAGTAAAATGAAAAGCGTTGACACAAATAATTTGAGACGACTATTAAAAATGCAAAATATAGATCCATACTCTGCCCAATTCTTTTGTTAATTTTGTTCAAATCGTTTTAAAGTTTACCTACCTCCGCCCCCAAATATTACAAGTACAAAATATTTTTACTCGTATTAAAGCCTCCCCTCGAACATTTGAGAAGCTCTTTTTATTCGCACTGTTTACAAACCACAAATTTCCTACGCCTGAATTTGATGTATAAGGGTTTGCCGATGCAATGCAAACGGCGCCCTAGCTCCCTCTACGAGGGCTCAAAGCGAGGGTAGCTGAAAACTGAGGTGGTAAAATATTCCGATACTTTTTGCACAATTGCGGCAAGTGAAAGGAGATGGTCTGACAGTATTTTTCGTGAGGGAATAGGAAAGATTTCTCATGCAATTACTTCTCTGACCAAGAAACTGGAGTTTACCAGCTGAAATAAATAAGAAATTGTTTGAAATTAATGAAAAATGGTTTGAGCGCCGCATAATGTTAGTCAATTTGATTTGGGAGATGGACGGACGTATACAGAATATCATACGTAAACGCAATTACCTTACGTATACATAATTTCTAGGGTTGAAGTAAACAATTGTCTCAAGGGATATTTCACTAAAATAAAATTATACCTTACCATATATTCCTGAAATCGAAATTTCCTATGTTTCATTACTTTTATGAACGTACATCTCGAATTCTGTTGATGTCACCGAGACACACTATATAACTCAGCCTAAATGGTCGTACAGACAAATACTGTAGGATGAATAAAAATAATAATGGAAACTATTAAAATGAAAAAACGTAAAATATGATAATATAAACCGTGTGTCTTCCTATTTTTCCTATCTCCCATTTCGGCCTGACTCTTGCTTATTAAACAGTGATTAAGTCTTAGGTTCAGAGCCCTTCTGCAAATGCCTAAAAAAATACAAAACTTTTAATGACCTTAACCAAACAAAGAAGAATATAACGCAAATTCTAATAAAGTAAACAATACATAAATATAAATAATACTTTCCAAATCATCAATAACAAACTCCACACCGAATGGACACATAATTAATGATTATCACAAATGAATAGCCCAAATTAATAAAACACGTACTTCCGTGGTGAATCACACGGCAATGACACATAGTACAAAACGCGTCTTAACGAGGTCACATCATAGGTGAATCAAAGCCCTGAATTACAAGAATTCTACCGCAATCTTAATCCTTTACAATGCAGCTCATTTTCAAGTCCTTAATTACTAACAAAGCTGATTACCCAAGGCTTTTCATCCCAAAGCCTTTTCATAGCGATGGTCAGAAACATGCATAATTTCAACGCAAAATCTTTCATGAACGCACTTACCGTTTCCACCAAAAACAATTTGTACCGCGAGGTTCGTATTGGGTTGAAAGTTTCATCAGTAACACCAGAAATCCATTGCCATTTTTCTAGCGCCAGTGAGGCTTGATTCCGGCACAGAATTCAGGTCTTCTCAGACCTGAATTCTTTCCGTATGAAAAATTGTGGTGGCTTAAATTAGAAATTCGTCTTGTCATGATCGCCATAATTTATACACCCAAGATTTGTTGCTCTAATGCTTTTCTATTTTATTGAATTGACACATGCCCCGATTCTTAGCATTTCTTCACCTACGAGAATAATGAGCGGCACAATAAAGCACCGGATATCAAATTATCCGTCATTTTATTGTATTGAGAATTTGTTTACCGCTACCAACTGCATAATGTATGTTATCACTTTATAACAATGAAAGCCTCTGTGTGTACCGAAATTGCCAGTTTTTATTGTAAAAATATAGATTCACCAGTAAATTGTTAACACTTCATTACCCGAAGCCTTAAATTCACCTCACATTACATTCAACTTCCGTGCTCGCGTCTCCCCATTTCGGCAAATTCAGGAAAATAATCACGCTCTCCGCTCCCCATTTCGGCAAATTCAGGGAAATAATCACGGTCTCCGCTCACCATTTCGGCAAATTCAGGGAAATAATCACGGTCTGCGCTCCCCATTTCGGCAAATTCAGGGAAATAATCACGGTCTTCGCTCCCCATTTCGGCAAATTCAGGGAAATAATCACGGTCTTCGCTCCTCATTTCGGCAAATTCAGGGAAATAATCACGGTCTCGCTCACCATTTTGTCAAATTCAGGGAAATAATCACAGTCTTCGCACCCCATTTCGGCAAATTCAGGGAAATAATCACGGTCTCCGCTCCAAATTTCGGCAAATTCAGGGAAATAATCACGGTCTCCGCTCCCCATTTCGGCTAAATCCGGAAAATAACCACGGTCTCCGCTCCCCATGCATTTCGGCGAATTCAGGGAAATAATCATGGTCTCCGCTCCCCATTTCGGCAAATTCAGGGAAATAATCACGGTCCCCGCGCTTCGGCATCTCGACGCGCAGGCGCCACGGTGGCTCAAGCGCAGTTGTTATTCAAGTCTTTTAAGCCACACAACAGAAACATGGCACAGTCGCTCAACCCGGCCCGAGTAGGCTTGTATTTTTGGGTCCTTTGAGCGCTTAATTACAGTCAGTGTCAAAAATATCTACGGAGTGTGGTTTGAATCTCAAATTCCGGTGCCCCGATGGATGTAATTCAACGCAGTCGAGTTCTAGTTGTTCGGGCTTGAAAAGTGTCATTATTAGTGACCCTTGTACGTGACTGCTGCGAGTGCGGTGGACAATCATTTACATGGAACTTTTAAAACATTGGTGAAACTCGTTCATATTGTTTCGTAATTGACTCGCTGTGCAAAAATTGGACACGAACCTCATTTCATTCGCTATTTATGGGTAATTTGAGCGTGAATAAGCGAATTAAATTATTTTCCGGGTAAATAGGAATTGAAGGAATAATATATAATGATATCTAATTGTATATTTCATGACTCCAGTTTCGTAATAACATCGCTTGCTATCATCTCGAACCTGCTCCTGCCGAAACACTCGCTAATAAGCCACAAAAAATGTACAATTTTTTCTGCTCTTGGCAGAGGTACAAAATTACTGAATTATTTACTATTTTAATTAAGCAATCTAGAAAGTCTAGTAAACAACTATTTTATTTTATGATCCGTACAAGATTTCAATTATATAAGAAAACTGAGTGAATGACTGAAATTTTTTTCAAAATTGTGCGACCAAAGCTAGTACGTGAACTTACTGTACGGGCCATAAATCTACATTCCCATCAACAATTTATTCTTGCCTTTTCAGTCAGTAAATCACACATTCCACCTAATAATCACAGGAAAATCTGTGTCTGTTATACGGGTAGAATCAATGATAGCAGAGCAGTTATTTCCATCTTTTGACGCACGTCTGACGCACAAAACACGATGATGGATCGCGGCTCGTGGATGTTCCATTTCCGCCGCCCTCACTCCTCCACCTACTGGAGCTGGAACCTAAAGAGCGAAATATTCTTTAATAAGAGCCTTTATTAATAGTTCCGAAGCATATTTACTCACAGTTTCGTGTAAATATTGAAGTTAAAAAACTCTTAATTTCGTGACTAGTCACTCCAAGCTGAAATGCGTTTCAGAGGCCGCCCCACGGAAGGGCATTTCAGAGGCCGCCCCGCGGGAGGGCATTTCAGAGGCCGCCCCGCGGGAGGGCATTTCAGAGGCCGCCCCACGGGAGGGCATTTCAGAGGCCGCCCCACGGGAGGGCATTTCGAATGTCACCAGCTTCCTAACAGCGGCTGATTTAAGGTCTGTGATATATACTCGGGCTCGGCTTCCATGCTTCTAATTGGGCCCACAGGGCAACATCGAATCAGAAGCTGAAATGACATTGAATTTTTGTTTTTAATTCCGTTCATAATGTAATATAAAATTGATAGCCTCGTCGGAGCATCTTCGGTATATTTTTACATGTGTAGTTGCAATACACGCGGATGAGATTTGTTTATTCAGGGACATGAATGGGTCGAGATGATTCTCGACCCATTACGACTCATGGCTAGGATAACCTTCATCAGGATAACCTTCATAACCTTCATCAGGATAACCTTCATAAGGATAACCTTCATAACCTTCATCAGGATAACCTTCATAACCTTCATCAGGATAACCTCCATAACCTTCATCAGGATAACCTTCATAACCTTCATCAGGATATCCTTCATAACCTTCATCAGGATAACCTTCATCACGGAGAGTTGGTCCTTTTATCTGGGTGAGGACAATTTTGCCCAAGTCGTTGACACGCCCACTTGGTTTTTCAGGACCCATTGACCACTAAGAGTTTATTTTATTTTCTGTTGCCGCGTTCAAATGGTTGTCTTGACCCACTCTCATCTCTGAGTGCAAGCAATATCCTGAGTCACGTGTAGGAGCATATTTTCTGCTTTAAGGAACCACCGCCCAGAATCCGTTCGTGATTTTGAAAATAATATATAATATAAAAACCTTATTTATATTTCATCGAAACCGATGTAAGCCGTTTAGCCTTTTATTGAGCTTGCAGCTCAAAATCATGCAGCGTTGAATATCATTCTTTTAATTTTTTTATTTATAAGGGTACATGCCATCAAGTCAATGCGAGTAATTAGCCAGCAAGTTCACCGTAAAGTATAACTGTTATCGCAGAACTGAGATATCATCAGTAGAAGATCAACAATACAGGGCCAGCAGTGCGCGCCGTTTTGCTGCACCAACATTATGATAATGGGAGCGTATAATGTGGTCTGGTCGTATAGATGTTATATGTTGGCCCACGACATTATTTGGCGCCGAGAATAAGGTAATGGAGTAACACAGCCGGTAATGATGGCAGCACATGTGATGTCTGCACGACTCATGAGTGTAGTGCGACTCAGCACGATGTGAAGGTGCACCGACTCAGCACGATGTGAAGGTGCACTGACTCAGCACGATGTGAAGGTGCACTGACTCAGCACGATGTGAAGGTGCACCGACTCAGCAGCACAATGTGAAGGTGCACCGACTCAGCGCGATGTGAATGAATCGAATAAAAAAAAATATCGCCATAAAAATCGCCATATCGCCATATATCGAAGATATCGCCATATCGCCATAAAATCGAATCCCGAAATGGCGCTGACCCAACAAAAGGGAAGACATGGGTCACCCAACACGAGGTTATACGTGCAGCGCTGTCCAAATTGTACGGCAACAGACACGAATGTCTAAATGTCTACTGCCATCAATAATTTCTAGTACCAATGATTTTACGTTGTGAAACGCAAACCGCGCTTCGGGCGCGATTAATTCAAATTTAGCATCGGTTCAAATTTATCGCGATTACAGAGGCAATTTTGTTTCAGTTCTTTGTACCGCACGCGCAGATACCCGATACGACGTAGCACGGGCGCTTATAGTTTGCCGCTTATGTTATTTTTTACGCGTTTCTAGTTCCGTGGTAGTTTGATTGTACTACGCTGTAGATACGTGACCGTGTGGTTGTACGGCGCTGTAGGAATATAGATACGTGACCGTGTGGTTGTACGACGCTGTAGGAATATAGTTAAGTGACCGTGTGTTTGTACGGCGCTGTAGGAATATAGTTACGTGCCCGTGTGGTTGTACGGCGCTGTAGGAATATAGTTACGGGACCGTGTGGTTGTACGGCGCTGTAGGAATATAGTTACGTGCCCGTATGGTGGCAAGACACTGCATATAACCACAGTTTAGTTATCGTTATGTTACGTGATGATAAAAATCTTTGGATGGGCGGACGTTGCAATTTAATCTGTATCACAAAGCCGCCTTGGTGCGATGGCCATTATTTAAAAGTAAAGTTGCATTTAATTAAAGGTGAAGTCGACGGATGATTTATACTGGACCACGATTGTTGATAATGAAAGGCAAGTGAACGTCATTCATGAGGCTTACATCGTGAGCTGATGCATGGGTGAATAGAAGTTAATGAGTGAAATAGAGAATAAGTGAAAGGAATAGAAAATTGAGTTAAAACTGGACTCCAGGCGATGAGCTATGAAAAGAGATATTCAACGTATATAGCTTCCATAAAAAATAGATAAGAACGATCAATATATGTTTGAATTATTATGCTTATATGGTGAATGATTTCCAAATTCTATCTGAGGCTTGAATTCGAACTCAGCAATCGTGGTTTAAAATGCTGAGTCAAAATAATTGTAATAATGAACCAATTAGTAAGAATCGATGAAATAAAACAGAAAAAAGTTTAACTAAAAAGCTCACAAATGTCTCTATCTGTCATATGAATTTCTATAATAGGAACGAACAAACAAATCCTCCGAAATATCCTATTAACTTTGACTAAAAAATCGCACTGCTAACGACACTCGAATCGAGGGAGTATCATTTCATTGAGTGTTCATAGCTGCTGAACGCCTGTGCTTTCCCGGCCATAATTCCTTGATACACGAGGCTATAAAGCAATAAATTTAACGCTCTAATAAACAACGCTGCCGCTCCAACTTCCACAAATACAGAGCGAGAGTAGCCGAAAAATAAACATTTCAGAAAAAAGTAAAAAATCGCAGCATCTGTGAGTTTTCACATGAAAAAGAATATTTTAATGATTGAACTGATGTTCCGTGTTAAAGTCTATGAAATGGAAAGGTAAAAAATACGATAGTAAATTTGGCAAAAGTTTATACTCTATACTGATCTCTAATTTATTAATTTGTTTTTAAAAATCATTTGATCCGACCCGTAAAATCCAACTCGAGTTCAGCCGGCTAATGGAATTCACATTGGTTCGTCAGACGAATACCAGTACAATTCGTAAAAATATTCAGCAGTTAAATGGGATAAATTTTCCCTTAGACCTGTAAGATCGCTTTTAAAATCAAGAAGGGGACCTTATATCACTAAATTAGATTTATTTACTTATTTGTTTAAAATAAATTAATTTTATCTGGAATTAATTTGATAAAATGCCCTGAAAGTTCGATTTGTCAAACTAGATTTAAAGTTCAAAGCTATGGGTAAAAATTAAGACTAAATCATGCCATTTTAGGACAGAAAAAAGGGCTCCATCTCTTGAATAAATATTTTCAAAGTCTCTTGACTGAACGTGCAACAACCTGAATGTAAAAAAAAAACAGGAAAGTTCTCAATTATTAGGAAGGGGTAGAGTTAACTCTCAGCTGACAGAAGATGAGGTATTATCACATGTTATTATTACATATGCATTAAGAACGCTGTGTGTTATCTATGATGTATGTTGTTCGATTTGATTTTGTTCTGCTTCATATTGTTCGTCTCATAATAGACGAAAATTATATCATATATTCATTCTATCTCTCGTGAATATTCCTCAAAATTTTTGCAACATTTATGCATGAATTTTTTAGTATTTGCCTGTTGCACCCTGCAATACAAATGATAAGTTTAAAAAAATCAATCATAAGCATTGGATGGACTGAACTAATGTTTACTGTACAACTACAATTTAGCAGAGAGGTATTGAACAACATTGCAGTGCATTTTTTACGAACCAAGTTATATCTCAATTACATTTTCCCTTAGTATTTAACACTGCAAAATTAATCGGTTATTTCTCACAAAAGAAAAACCCACTGTCTATTTTCCATTCAACAACATGAAAGACAATAATATCTATCGGTGAATATTTTCCTTGCCTGTAAAACAATGTACTTCTTCCAAACGGCTCCACTTCCGTAGACAACTCATTCTTTGATGATAAACGCCAGAAATAAAAATTCCTAAAAATTTTTGAAAGCAACAATGGAGTCTCTATAAAACCAAAGATTTATAGAAGCTCCGTATCAGGACATGTTTCTTTCAACTATCAGCAATTAATACGAATTGGCTTTTATCTGTGAGAAATATTCTAGTCTACGAATTGTTTGCAATGATATCGATATAAAACTTGGACCGAGTGTAGGCTTTGCTATAGTGAAGCTCGCTGCTCTAATTGAATGAGGCCTTCGACGCGAAACCAAAATAAAAACTCGGAGTATGAGTTTATTTTGCTGCAGTACTAAAGTATTGGAGCGAAACTCGGAGCAATATACCTTAGTGGAAAGAATTATTTTGAATTGCGTAGGTACTGAGTCTTACAATGATGTTTTTTGTTGATGTTGAGTCATACACTGATATCTCGTATAGGTTGGCATTGAGTCTTACACAGACGTCTTGTGTTGATATTGAGTCTTACACTGAGCTCTCGTGTAGGCATTGAGTCTTACCCTGACATCTTGTGTTGATATTGAGTCTTACACTGATACAGTCTTACATGCACAGACGTCTCGTGTAGGTATTGAGTCTTCCACTGACGTTTTGCGTTGATATTGAGTCTTACACTGATATCTCGTATAGGTTGGCATTGAGTCTTACACAGACGTCTCGTGCAGGTATTGAGTCTTACACTGACGCCTTATATTGAGTCTTACACTGACGTCTCGTGTAGGAATTGGGTCTCACACTTACGCCTCCTGTTGGCGTTGCTTCTTACGTGAACTTATGGCATCAAAACCAAATTTTTTCAAGTGGAAGTGGTCTGAAAACCAATATTTGTAATGTATTAGTTAAATATTTAGACACTATTACCTTAAATTGAGAAATTTAAAATAATAGTGTAATAGGATACAATTAATGTTGAAACGTTGCAGCGTTTAATGCAGCAAATACATTTGGAATGCGTGAAAATGTAAATAGATTTAAAGCTTCTTTGAAGCAACAAGAAACAAAAATATATTGGCTAAATAAGCACTAAATTTGCAAAATAACTATAAAATATTAAAGTAGGGGATGACAAAATTTTCTCATACTCAAATGACTGAGGCAATTTGCAGAATAAAAAATTTACAGTTTCCTCATTAGAACGCATTGAAAAAGATGCAATTCATTTGTACTTAATTTGCGAAGGCTGAAAGTCTGGCGCTCGCTCTTCAGAAGCGGCAAGCCCTACAAAATTGAAGCCATTGAAGAGACTGGGCCGTTGAATGCGCGACGCAGTTGAAGAAGACTGAAAAATTCCTAGTCTAACTCACTTTTATTCATTCAGTGAGAAAGAGAGGTGAAGAATAAAGAACTTCATTAAATGGAGAAGGGATCAGAGGAGAATTATTTAATCGAACTCATGGCTTGGTGAGTGCCATGAGGCGTTGCAATGAGAATTCGCACAATACGAGAATTTCTTATATATAAATTCCAAGAAATATTGAGAATGCTTGCAGCAAGTCTGTATAGTGACTAATAAAGCACCGATACGTGACATAAAACAGGCAGTTATTTATAATAGCTACTCGTAA